AACAAAGAGGTGAAATTTCATAGGAAAATCAAAAAACGAAAAAAACGACCACAGTAATCAAAATAGTTGAAATTATGTATAATTAAAACAATATGTTTTTCCGTTTTTTCGACTTTTCTATAAAATTTTACCTCTTTTTTTTTTTATTCTTTCTGACTGTTTTTATGGAGAACCCAATTTGAAATATGTTTATTTTATGAAAATTATCTAGGCTTACAGAAAAAAAGTATTAGAAGAATTCTCAAACTTTAGGCAACACGAAAAAACCAACTTTTTAGATTATAAACTCAATTTTAAAGACTTTCCGTTACTCGAAAAATAAATCAATATTTTTTCCAGAAAGCTAAGATTATTTCACATAAGAAACTGATGTTTAATACATTTTTTTTTATGGCCAAAGATACTATAAAAAAATAAATGTCGTTGGCCTTTTCACTCAATAATCAATATATAATATCAAACAAAAATGATATATTTTTTCTATATTTTATATCATTATGTAATAAAAGTAATCGAATATATTTATCCTTATTGTAATTTGTACTTGATGTTGGTAACATCAATTTTACTTTTAAATTTGTTCTATACTCTCCTTAAGTATTTTTTTTAAGTGACTAATACTTTAAAACTCTTTAATTAAAGTTCTAAAATAACTGTTGTAATAGTTTCCTATAACAGGCAACTTTTATTTGCATTTTATTTACTTTGTCAGTGCAATTAATTTCTCTTAAATCAAAGTCAATTTTAAAGCTGTTCTTGATATAAAGGCAATCTAACGCTAAATTGCAAAATTATTAAATGTATATGTAGAATTTTTGTTACTTTTTTGTAGTTGTAATATGCTTATTATAAAACGAAAAAATCTAGGGTGAAGAAATTACTATAACTTGCATTTTCGAATGTCCGTCTATATTCCATAGGTTAGGCCACAATGACAATTGGTTAATTAAAATAAATGGTCAGTGTCTTAATCGTGTTGTTTTCACTTATTATGTATTGTTGTATGTACACATGCACAATATGGATTGACTGTTTAAGCAACAATAACACTTGACCGAAGTATCACTCGAATAAGATAGTGAGTAATAGGGTTTTCCGTTAGCTGTCTATGCTTTCCTGTTAGGTATTATTATTTTTTAAATATTCTGCTCATTACATATTACACATTATTATTATTATACAACATTAAATCGATAATATATTTTTTTATAATGCTTTTAATTATTTAATTTTGCATAGAATTAAAGTGATTTAAAGTGACTTTAAAGTTTTAAAGTGATTTTATATTATTTTTAGTAATAATAATTCCTAAAAACTTATGATCCCAATATAAACAGTTTTAATATTACCTATGTAAATGGTTTAAAAATATCATTACATTATTACAGTATCAAGATAATTGATAATACTCTTCATTTTTTAGGTTGATTTTAATGTTGCTAATACAATGTAAACTCCTTAAAATATTAATGAAAAAAAACTTAATAAGTACTACTAAAACTTGTTTTAACACATTACAATCCTCAAAATGGCTTAGAATGAATAAATGAAATAAGACTTTATAAATAGTTTTCTTTAGTAACTCATGAGTTATTCATATAACTAGACCAATACTACTATATACAAACGAGGCAACAGTACAGTTTTGTAACATATGAGTAATTTTTTAACATGGATAAGCGAACATACATAATAGAATGTTTTGAAGTGCATTTTAGTAATTAAGTTAAGTTTTTGTCATAAAACTTAAGTTTTGAGTTCTAATATTAAAAACATCAAATTCCCGTCAATTATAGTATTAAACAAAAAATGTTTAAATGTTTTTAAAAACATTTTTTTTTTAAATGGCAATAACACGTTTTTAAATGTTGCTCTTTAATTGAATGGGAATTTGTGAAAGGGACCCAAGTTACATATTTGACCAAAATAGTTTTATGGTAGATAATTTATCTTCTTGAAAATTTCGATGTAATCTCTGTATAGAACTATATTATTGGAAATCATTGATGAAAACTGAGGGAGCATGTTTTATCATGTAAATTAGTCGTCGAGAGCACACTAAATATGCATGTTATTTGCAGTGATTCGTGTACATAATAAACAATCTGAAGTATGCTTCAGTCCTCCGGTCATGCATCACAACAATATAGTATATTATATGTAAAGTTTGGTTAATGGCTTTAATTTAAATGAAGGAACATGCGAATGCATAAAATTCCTGGCCCTGCTTATAGTATGAGTTATGAACACGCTCCTTGAAATTGTATTAAAACGCCTCTAAAAAGAAACCCAGATAAAAATAACCCTTAAAAATAGTGTTTTCAATATTAGTTGTTTTAGCAAGACTTTTTATTTCCATGTGGGTTTTTTTTAATTTTGGTTATGTTCATATTTTAACTATTTAATCATTTAAATCACGTAGTATTATTTATACGGTTATATTTAGTATATATATATTTTTTTAAATCGTCTCCATAAATGTAAAAACACGTAGTAGGTATTTTTAATGTGTTTTGTACGTTTGAAAAATAAAACGTTTATATTTTATTTTTCTGCTGAATTCAGATTAGATATAATAGTTAATGTAGATTATTCAGTTTTTTATACACCATAAAACTTTAATATTCCTAAATAAGAAATTCCTGAATTTTGTTTTGCAAGTTGCTTACAGCTTTGAAGGATCAATTTGGTTCTTACTCAAAAATCGTGTTGTACTTGTAGCTGTAACAGTTTTCAATTTATATATATTGAACACAATAATAATTACTAAATATTATCTTCATTATATTTTAAATAGGCTAGTTTTTCAAAAAGGTCGTTGGAATAACTTGAACTAGTGGGGGTTTAGGTTAGGTTAATCAATTATTCGTTCACGGCTCAACTGGAGTAGGCGAACACAAGTTAATATTGAAACAAATACATTTTTAACTAAAGTATACTTGCTTTTATACAAATGTTTTATTATTGTCATTGAAATACTGCATAATTGCGAGATCAGCTTCCCACTCTTTTCATCATCATTCAGAAGTATTCGAAGTGTCTTATTGATGTTTTCTTGTATCTTGTTTGAAATCGAGAAGGCGGAGACGAATAGACTCTCAAAGGGTAGCAGAATATTATTAACTTGGTGTTCTCCGCCGTTTTTGTCACCCGTCTATAGGCCTTTTCTAATTATTTTCTTGTTCAATCCAGTGTTGGAAAACCCTCTACCCTAAGACAACCCATTAGAGAGGGGGAGGTAAGGTTCACCCTTTGTCCACGGGTCTTTCGAAAACAGAATTTCAAAAAATGATTAACGCCATTCCTATTTTAATAAATCGCTTTTTACTCGTTGGACGTCGATTACATATAATAAACCTATGTAAAATGAATCAGTGTACTGGATTCGTAATTTAATTGAAAAATTATTCAATTATTATTATTATTATTTAAGTATTGTTCGAAGGCTAAGCTAAAACCTGAGAAACCAATACCTCTCTTGGTTACTCTCACCTTTTATTTATAAAAACACATCGTTAGACAAGTGATGAGACAAAATACATTACATTAATAATTTATATGGTTTTTATGACCTTGTGAACATTTTTTTGGACATGAATCATTTAAATTTATTATTATTTTATTTCCCCTTCTTATGTATGCCCATGTTTTAACGTCGGTACACACGATCTGACCGTCAATGACCATAGTCCATATCAATTATTATTATTCTATAGCGCAATAATGGTCAACTCTTGTATATATTGTTTAAAAAGAAAAACAAAAGGTTATCGACTTTTGTTTGGTTTTTAAATCTACCAAGTTATGGTAAACTGATAACTCTTGTTTTGTTTGAATTTTTTTATTGACGATAGTACACACTAAAAAATATGTAAAGTATTTTTCATACCAATTTCTATGTTTTTGAATCCATTTTTTTATTCGATTATAATACTAACAAATACAAGTTCATTCGACTCGTGTGGTATGAAATACTAACTGACCACGTTACTGTTTAAAGAATGCAAAAAAAAACACCGCCCAAGGACTAAATATTTGTAAAAAAAAAATAAAAAAACCTTAGAACGACCGTCAAAATGGTTTTATGCAAACCGTATATAATGTTTGTTTTCATATTGTTATCCATTGATCATTTTCACTGCAATAACGCTACCGGATATAATAACATTCTATAAAATTGCGGGATCAGATCATGACGTTATCTTATTTATGGTACATAATTACTGTACTTACTGTTAATTTAGTAGCCGACAGAGGTACTATTTGCTTGACACAGGTTACGCGGTAACTGCATTTCCTTACTGGCGTTGCTTGTGCTGTGTACATACAATCACATTAATTAATTCAATTATGATTATCTTTATCTATAAACTAGACACTCTCCAATTAAATCTGGTAGTTGTAATTATAGGTTTTTTTTTGTAATCCTGTTTAGAAAGCCCGATAAATATTTATATTAAATTATTATATTATCATAAATAATGAATCTTTTTTTTAATAACGCAAATTATACAATTTGTACCTTGAATATATACTGAGCTAATAAATCTACAAAAGTAGCAAATATAAAGCTTGCTGATATTTGTTTTAATTAATTAATGTTGAGCAATGCTTTAAAGTACCAATGTATACAGAAGGGAATAACCCAATATAAAAAAAAAAAATTGTTCCACTGTAAAATATTTATAAATAATTTATTTAATGAAAAAATTATGTTTGTCTGAAAACGATGTTAAAAACTTTGAAATATAACCCATTTACGCCCAGTATCCTATATGTAGGACACTCAATATAAAATTATTATCGTATCTTTTTTTAGAATTTTACGTAGTAGGAATAATTCAGAAAACAGGAAATTAAAAAATATTTTTAACTTTGGACATGAAAAAAGTATGTTGTTTTAGGTATAAAAAATAATCGAATATTTTATTTTATAATATAAACGTACTAATATTATTATCCCATTTAGTATTTTAAACGTTTTGTTGAAATAATTCCAGGCCTAGTATGTCACAAGGTACTGTCATCCATCAACGACTACAAGAAAAAGATTTCAGTGTAAGCACACCGGAGGAGTTTGTTAAACGTTTCAAAGGAACGCGTGTCATAAATAAGGTCAGTCGGACTGCATTTTATGTAGTTTAGATTCTCGAATCTAGTTGAGATTCCTATGCTAACCATGACTATTGGTCGTATTTTAGGTTTTGATCGCCAACAATGGTATTGCAGCCGTCAAATGCATGCGATCTGTCCGTCGGTGGTCGTATGAGATGTTTAGAAACGAAAGGGCCGTCCGTTTTGTAGTTATGGTAACACCGGAAGACCTTAAAGGTGAGATTGCTGCACTAATTTAAAAAGAACTTATCTCATCTTAACATGTATCTATTGCGTTTCAGCAAATGCTGAATACATCAAGATGGCTGATCATTACGTGCCTGTTCCCGGTGGCACAAACAATAACAATTACGCCAACGTAGAACTTATCGTCAACATAGCTATCCGAGCCCAGGTTCAGGTAATGTATCTGATATTAAAAAAATTAATACTCCCATAATGGTTGTTAATTATCATTTTATTGATCTGTGCAGGCTGTGTGGGCCGGATGGGGACATGCATCAGAAAATCCAGAGCTCCCCAAGTTATTGGACAAAAACAAAATTGCATTTATCGGACCGCCCGAAAAAGCTATGTTTGCTCTTGGTGACAAAATCGCTTCAAGTATTGTCGCACAAACTGCAGAAATTCCCACATTGCCTTGGTCCGGTTCAAGTATGTAAAATGTTAATTGTGTTCAATAACATAAAAATAGTTTCTATGTCTTATATTTGTATAAACATTATTTTTTGTACCATTGCAGATGTGGTTGGACATTATTCTGGTAAAAAGATAGAAATCGGACCAGAATTGTACAAAAAAGGATGTGTCGCTAACGTTGACGAAGGTCTGGTATCAGCCGATAAAATAGGATATCCAATTATGATAAAAGCTAGTGAGGGTGGTGGTGGAAAAGGTATTCGTAAAGTAGAAAATCCTGACGATTTCCCAGCAGCCTACAAACAGGTATCTAATACGTACACGTTAACTACATTTTTGATCGGTTTTTATTTGTGTGCATATAATATTTAACTATTTAAAATCATATTGTTTGTTTAGGTGCAAGCTGAAGTCCCCGGGTCGCCAATTTTCATAATGAAATTAGCTAAGTGTGCCAGGCATTTAGAAGTGCAACTGTTAGCTGATCAATATGGTAATGCCATATCGTTGTTCGGTCGTGACTGTTCAATTCAAAGAAGACATCAAAAAATCATTGAAGAAGCTCCTGCAGTTATAGCAGAACCCAGCGTATTTGAAGACATGGAGAGAGTAATAAACTATTTTTTTTTTTTTAATTGAACACGATTAAACTACAACGATCCAGTACTAATAGCATTCTCGTTTCTATTTAGGCTGCTGTACGTATTGCTAAAATGGTCGGTTACGTCAGCGCTGGTACGGTAGAGTACCTGTATGATACCGACGGTAATTATTTCTTTTTGGAGCTGAACCCTAGGCTGCAAGTCGAACATCCTTGCACAGAAATGGTGTCCGACGTGAATTTACCAGCTGCTCAATTGCAAATCTCCATGGGATTGCCACTGAACTGCATTAAAGACATCAGGTTACTTTACAGTGAATCCGCTTGGGGTGACAGTTACATTGACTTTGATGCACCTAGACACAAGCCTCATCCATGGGGTCATGTCATTGCCGCTCGTATTACTAGTGAAAATCCCGACGAAGGTAATCAATTGTGACGTTAATTGTTACTCTAAAATTTGTTTACAACTCAAACTGTACATTAAAAAACTTGTTTTCTGTTATAGGATTCAAGCCCAGTTCTGGTACCGTACAAGAACTCAACTTCCGTTCATCGAAGAACGTGTGGGGTTATTTCAGTGTAGCTGCTTCTGGTGGCTTGCACGAATTTGCCGATTCTCAATTTGGTCATTGTTTCTCGTGGGGTGAAAACCGAGAACAAGCTAGAGAGTGTGTACCTAACCGATTATACATAACAGTGCCTGTTTTAATCATAATTAAATAATACTTTATTTCTATAGAAATCTAGTCATTGCTTTAAAAGAACTTTCGATTCGAGGTGACTTCAGAACTACTGTTGAATATCTAATTACTCTTCTCGAAACCGATTCTTTCCAAGTACGTTTACATATGTTATGTTTTTAAACTTGATATTTCACATTGTTAACTATTTTAGGGCAACACTATCGATACAGCCTGGTTAGATGTATTGATAGCCGAGCGTGTGCAGTCTGAAAAACCAAATGTATTACTTGGTGTTATTTGTGGTGGACTTCATATTGCTGATCGTAAAATTTCTGATGCATTCCAAAATTTCCAAACTTCTTTAGAACGGTAGTTTATCTATCACATTATTTTATATTTTCTTGTTATTACATTTCTATTTTTTAATTTGAATAATTTTCACAGTGGTCAGGTTTTAAGCGCTAGCACACTAGATAACATTGTATCCGTTGAATTGATTCATGAAGGATTCAAGTATAAAGTTCAAGTCACTAAATCTGGTTTAAATTCATATTTCTTAATGATGAATGGATCATTCAAGGAAATCGAGGTTCATCGACTTAGTGATGGAGGTTGATTTTATTTTTATCTATTGTAATAATAAATTATACTCATATACTAATTTAAAATGAACATATTTTATTTTTAAGGAATTTTATTATCCTTGGATGGATCTAGTTTTACTACTTACATGCGTGAAGAAGTAGACAGGTACAGAATTGTTATCGGTAATCAGACTTGTGTTTTTGAAAAAGAAAATGATCCGTCATTGTTACGTTCTCCATCTGCCGGAAAATTGATAAGCTTCATTGTCGAAGACGGTGGTCCAGTTAAAAAGGGTCAAGCTTACGCTGAAATTGAGGTTATTTATGCATCAATTTCTGAGATTAAATTACATTTCAATTGAGTTTAAAAATTAATTCAGGTTTTGTGTATCTGTTTAGGTTATGAAAATGGTCATGACATTGACAGCGACCGAAAATGGTCGTGTATTTTACAACAAACGTCCCGGTGCCGTACTTGACGCTGGATCACTCATTGCTACTCTTGAACTAGACGACCCATCTTTGGTCACTAAGGCTGTCGAGTACAAAGGCCAGTTTCCTGAACTTGACGGAACTTCACATATTTACAACGAAAATCTCAATCATGTTCATAACAGCTATAGAGCGATGTTAGATAATATTCTCGCTGGTTACTGTCTACCAGAACCTTATCACCTTTGCCGTTTGAGGGAAGTTATTGAAAAATTCATGAACTCTCTACGGGACCCAAGTTTACCACTATTGGAGCTACAAGTACTTGATACTTTTCCCAAACAGAAATCCCATAGTCCATATAGGAAATGAATATAATATATATTATTATTTCAGGAAGTTATCTCATCTATATCTGGTCGTATTCCAAAACCTGTCGATAAAAAAATCAAATCTCTTATACAACTTTACGAAAGAAACATCACCTCAGTACTTGCTCAATTTCCTAGTCAACAAATAGCCGGAGTCATTGACGGGTACTTATTTTCCCATATAAAATGTGTGTTGTTTTTATTTATGATCGTTTTTTTATTTTAGACACGCCGCAACACTACAAAAACGCACAGACCGTGACAGTTTCTTCCAGACAACCCAAGGCATCGTACAACTAGTCCAAAGGTATAGAAATGGAATTCGAGGTCGTATGAAGTCTGCTGTCCACGAGCTGCTCAAGCAATATTATGAAGTAGAAAGCCAATTTCAACATGGTATGTTTGCCTGCTGTTGTCTGTAATAAGTTTACTTGCAGTATACTTGGAAGCTTAATACTTTCTTGTTTTACAGGAAGTTACGATAAATGTGCCACTGCATTGAGAGACCGTTACAAGGACGATATGGCCGCGGTGACTAACACTATATTTTCACATAAACAAGTAGCAAAAAAAAACATGCTTGTTACAATGTTAATTGATCACTTATGGTCTAACGAGCCCGGTCTCACTGACGAGTTGGCCGCTACGCTGAACGAATTGACATCTTTAAACCGCAGTGAACATTCCAGAGTTGCTCTTCGAGCCCGTCAAGTAAGTTTAGATTTTCTTAATTCTGAAAATCTTTATACTACCACATTTCATTCGAGTAACATTTTCTATTTTATTTTATAGGTTCTCATTGCAGCTCATCAACCCGCCTATGAGTTGCGACACAACCAAATGGAATCTATATTTTTGTCGGCTGTTGACATGTATGGACATGATTTTCATCCTGAAAATCTTCAAAAACTTATTCAATCTGAAACCTCTATTTTTGATATTCTTCACGATTTCTTTTATCACTCTAACCGCGCTGTGTGTAACGCTGCACTAGAGGTGAGAATTAAAAAAATAAAAGTGGTGTTTATTTAAACAAACTATGTAATGCGAAAACTATTCATAGGTTTACGTAAGACGTGTTTACATATCATATGACCTGACATGCTTGCAACACCTTGAACTATCGGGTGAAATACCATTAGTACACTTCCAATTTCTTTTACCGTCGTCCCATCCAAATCGGTGAGGAAATAATTTATATTCAGTTTATATAATACAATATTTTATAATTTATGTTTATAAAAAAATGTGGTCTGTGTGTAGTCAACGTCTGAATGAAAGCAAGACAATTCAAGCAAACGGTCCTGAAAATCCGGAATCGCCTACTAAAACACAGTTCCCGTACATACCTACCTATCAAAGAACTGGCTGCATGGCGGCGTTTGAATCGTTTAGTCAATTTGAACAATATTTTGACGAAATACTCGACATAATGGAGGACCTTTCTTCACCAGTGTATATTTCTCCTAAAATCATTGAAGCTGTGGAAAGTGGCAGTGAATCTAGATTGAGCTCCTCTCTTAATGTCAGCTTGTCTCTTGGCGATGGTCCTCCTCAAGAAAACCTACAAGTATTTATTTATATACTTTTAAAAAATTATCCGTATCAACATCGCTGACGACAAACGATTTGACTTATTTTTTGTTTTTCTTCAGATGGAACCATGTCATATATTGTGCATAGCCATGAAAGACACTGGTAATATGGAAGATGACAAACTTGGCAAGATGTACGAGGAGTTCTGTCAAAAACGGCGAGATGAATTGAAAAAACGATCAATCCGTAGATTAACTTTCTTGGCGTTAAACAAGTATGCAGTTGCCCGTTTTAGTAACAGTTATAATAAAGTTGAGAACTCATAAATACTAATACTTACTGTTGTTCTTTTAATAGGCGACAATTTCCCAAGTTATTCACCTACAGAAACTATGATAGCTTTGCTGAAGATAGGATTTACCGTCATTTGGAACCTGGCATGGCTTTCCAGCTGGAATTAAATAGAATGCGTACCTACGATTTGGAAGCTTTGCCTACATCGAACAGAAAAATGTATCTGTACTTAGGAAAAGCTAAAGTGAGTTATTTTTTCAACATTGACTGTATATTGTATTAGCAAACAGATAATAGTTGTTTTACTTTTAACATTACTAATTTTTATAATTTTTTGTTTTATTTATTTTTATCAAATTAATTTCATAGGTGCCCAGGGGTCAAGTTGTGACTGATTATAGGTTCTTCATTCGATCAATTATTAGACATCAAGACTTGATAACTAAAGAAGCGTCGTTTGAGTACCTTCAAAACGAAGGTGAACGTGTATTGTTAGAAGCGATGGATGAATTAGAAGTGGCTTTCAGTCATCCACATGCCCGCAGGACAGATTGTAACCATATTTTCTTAAATTTTGTTCCCACTGTCATTATGGATCCCGCTAAAGTAAGCGAGCCTATAATTTTTCATCTTGATGTATGCTAGAAATAATTTTCCAATTATAATTTCATTCTCTGTAGATTAAAGAGAGTGTCACGAATATGGTAATGCGTTACGGACCACGTCTATGGAAGTTACGTGTACTCCAAGCCGAGCTCAGAATGACAATTCGACCGACACCAACCTCAAAGACGTCTAATGTCCGTCTGAGTCTTGCCAACGGCAGTGGTTATCACTTGGATATTTGTCTGTACAAAGAAATAACTGACTCCAAGTTGGGAATTGTACGTAGAATAATAATTAATTAATTATTTTTCATTATAATCGTCATCAACAAAACACTGATGTGATCTTTATTTCTACAGATCAAGTTTGAATCGTATGAATCAAAGCAAGGACCATTGCACGGACTCGCAGTTTCTACACCTTATGTTACAAAGGACTTCCTACAGCAAAAACGGTTCCAAGCCCAGAGCGCTGGAACTTCATATGTTTATGACATACCCGATATGTTCAGACAAATGGTCGAAGTCTTGTGGCAAGAGTACATTACTGAACATCCAGATGGTAATAACATCATAAAGTTATATATTATATACCTCGTTAAACTATGTCCTATTGTTGCAGATGGCGTTTTAAAGAACAATCAAGTGTTTGATTATGTCGAGTTAGTCGTTGAAGACGATCATCTGATTGAACAAAAACGTTTCTCTGGTGAAAATTCTGTGAGTAGTTGTTAATCAAATTTCTTACTTTTTACAATAACCTAAAATTGAATATATGTTTTTATTTTTTTTTTCTTGCCTATTAGGCTGGTATGGTTGCTTGGAGATTCACAATGCACACTCCAGAATATCCTAACGGCCGTGATATAATTGTGATTGCCAATGATTTGACTGTGAACATCGGTTCATTTGGACCACAAGAAGACATAGTTTTCGATTTAGCTTCAAAAGAATCGAGAAGAAGAAAAATTCCACGTATCTATATATCAGCCAACAGTGGAGCTCGTATTGGTCTCGCCGAAGAAATCAAGGGCATGTTCAAAATTGCATGGGATGACCCAGCCGATCCCGAAAAAGTACGAATAATCTGACTCTATGATATCCTGCTTTGTACTAACATCATTTTTTTTTTTTTACTTTGTAGGGTTTCAAATATTTGTACTTGACTCCGGATGATTTCGGTAAATTAGCTGGTCAAAATTCTGTCGAGACAGAACTGATTGAAGACGAAGGTGAAGCACGATACAAATTGACTGACATTATTGGTTAGTAATCTTATATAGTCACCGTTGTACTTTTGTGAGTTTTATTAATTTTGATATATTTTCTTTTTAAACAGGCAAAGATTTTGGTTACGGTGTTGAAAATTTGAAATTCGCTGGAATGATAGCAGGTGAGACGTCTCGTGCCTACCAAGATATTGTAACCATATCAATGGTAACTTGCCGTGCCATCGGTATCGGAGCCTATCTCGTACGTCTTGGTCAGCGGGTAATCCAAATCGACAACTCTCACATTATCCTTACAGGATACAGTGCTTTGAACAAAGTAATTTTGTTATTAATTTTCTTTTTATGACGTTTTTTAATTCTGATTATTTTTAGAATGTTAAATGATTTTTAATTTTATTATAAATATTTCAGCTTCTCGGTCGTGAAGTATATGCTTCTAACAATCAACTGGGTGGTATTCAAATTATGTACAACAACGGTGTGTCGCACAAAACCGAAAGCCGTGACTTGGACGGTGTGTACCGTATACTGAAGTGGCTCTCATACATTCCAAAAACAAAAGACTCGCCAGTACCTATTGTCAAGTCGGTGGATCCCATCGAACGAGACATTGATTACGTGCCAACCAAAGTTCCCTATGATCCTCGTTGGATGATAGCCGGACGAGAAGACTCGAGTCAGTTTAATTTAGGTTGTTAGCGTAAATATGGACAAACTGTAATTCTTTTGTGTTGGTATAGATGGTCACTGGGAATCAGGCTTTTTCGACAAAGGATCGTGGGACGAAATCATGAGACCTTGGGCCCAAACTGTCGTATGCGGAAGAGCAAGACTAGGAGGCATTCCAGTCGGAGTTATTGCCGTCGAAACAAGAACTGTAGAAGTGACGTTACCCGCTGATCCGGCCAATTTAGATTCTGAATCAAAGGTACGACTCGCCAAGTTCACAATGAATTTAAGCAACGTGCTTGTTCGTTTTGTATTATAATTATTTTATTTTACTGTTATTTGTAGACTGTATCTCAAGCTGGTCAAGTATGGTTCCCCGACTCTGCTTACAAAACATCACAAGCAATAAAAGACTTTGCTCATGAAGAACTACCATTGTTTATCTTTGCGAACTGGAGAGGATTTTCAGGAGGAATGAAAGGTAAATAAAAAAAAAAAGGTCGAGTTAATGGTATATTTATTTTGTATTATCATTTATGTTGTCTAATCGTTAGACATGTACGAACAAATCATGAAATTCGGTGCATACATCGTCGACGAGTTGAGACAGTATAATCAACCAATCATTACATATATTCCACCGTTCGGCGAGCTACGTGGAGGGGCATGGGCTGTTGTAGATACCACAATCAATCCTAGACACATTGAAATGTATGCCGACCCAGACAGCAGGTAACAATATCACACAACGTATCAATAATCTAGTATTATTCTAAAAAAAGGCCTTATTGTATTACATTATTATATCGATATTACATTTTCTAAATTATTTTCAATTTCTCTGTTGTTTAGGGGAGGCGTTTTAGAGCCAGAAGGTATTGTCGAGATCAAATTCCGTGAAAAGGACATCCTAAAGTCTATTTACAGAATCGACACGGATATACTGAGTTTGAAGGCCAATTTGAACCCAAGCATTGAAGAAGCCGAAGAAATTGAGAAAAACGTCGCCGAAAGAGTGTCCGTGTTGAAGCCAATCTACCATCAAGTGGCAGTGCACTTTGCCGATCTGCACGACACGCCCAAGTGTATGTTGAGCAAGGGAGTGATCAAAGACATTGTGGAATGGAAGAAATCACGTAACGTATTATACTGGCGGATGAAACGACGATTGATGCAAAATCAAATCCAGAAAATTATCACCCGCACCAACGAAAATATACCCGACGAAGTTGCCTATGAAATGCTCAGGAGATGGTTTGTTGAAGATAAGGGCACTACAGCTGTAAGTCTTTTATAAAATTGTTATTGAGTTTGATCTAAAGTAATTGTTGTGTTTCGCTTGCTTTTTTTAGTCTTACCTTTGGGACAATAATCAAGCCGTCGTACAATGGCTATCTAGTCAAATTGACGATTCCGAGGGTACTGTTGTGTCCGATTCTTTGATTGGAAACAATATAAAGAGTGTTAGAAAGGATGCGGTCATTAATCAAGTCAAATCCACTGTTAATGTATGTTCACATTTTAAGATATTAAGTTTGACTACATATTTTTTTAAAAACAATGTATTATTGTATTTAATTATTTTTTCCAATGTTATAAAGGATACGCCTGAAGTTACATCAGATGTGATCATGGAAATGTTCTCAAGTCTGTCAGAAATGCAGCGTCTTGACTTAATACATAATTTAACGCAGGCGGCGACGAGCATTGCAAGTGTGAAATTAGACAGTTGAATTTACCAAAAGCAGTTATTGTTGTTAATTTTAAAATATATACATTATATAAAACAAAAACGTAAAATACATTTATATATATTTAGCTTATATATATATTACATAAACGTAATGGACTTTGCATTAGTTATTTCTCCATGATGATTACTGAAAAATGTTAGTTGATTTTGTTAATTTACGTTTCCACTCAATTATTTTTAAACTTATAGTCTTATTGGTATTGATTTTTAAGCATAATTTTTATTTGATCATGAACAAATTTATCGCTCTGAACAGTTATTCCTGCGTTGAGCGTATCTACTTTCCTCTCTTTCTCTCTATCTCTCTTTATGGAACCTATAAGATTATACATTAAACTTTATATACATATATATAAATAAGTATATATAATATTTTGTTTTTTGTTACTTCTACAAAATGTTTTTATTGCTGAAGTAATTTATGTTTATTGTATAGGTATATTGTATGTGTTATTATTATTATTAAAATTATTGAAATTGATTTGAACCATTTGTTTGTTATTGTTTTTCACTGATTGTACACTTTATAAATATTTAAAAACAAAACAAATGTGTAAAAACGTATAAATGATTTATATGTTATTACTTCAAATGAACAATCATCAGACATATTTCAACTCTGAAATATTATTTGTATTATGACATTTTTCTTGTCATACCATATGTTGGTAAATAATTTAAAGTTTGTTCAACTCTTATTTCTTGACAATATTTCATTTTTATAAAAGCTAATCTTTTATATACAGATATCTTATATATGTATGTATATTAGTATGTTATATGTATATTAATCTTTTGGTCGTTAATTACAAAAATAATTAAACAGCTTTTACATGAAATAAAATATTCAAATTCGAGCAGAGTATAAATTATCACACAATTCAATTAGGTTGATGATGGGAGTGATTTTGTACGGAAATATGTGTTTGTCGTCCAGGCTCAGTATTTTCAGACGCAGCCTGATCAGTGTCGACATGATGTTGTCCAATGCGTTTCCGGTACAGGCCTCGAAGAACCCATCGGGGTCGTTGCAAATGGCCTTTAGTATTTTCAACATATACCGCAGCAACAAGGTGTTTTCGTCGGAAATCAAGAAGTCCAACAGGACGTCCGACTGAAACGACACGCACGACATGAACTCTGCGAAGCTCGTGAATGGGTTCAGGTGTGCCGCGGGTTTGGGATCTGACCGGGCTTGCACAGTTTCCAGAGCGCACAGCGCGCTCTCCACCATCAGGTCGTCGTGGTCCCGGAACAGTGAGACCACCCAGCGACAGAACGGCACGGCAATGTCCACTTCGCCGGTGGACTTGATGTAAGAGTCGAGCAGTTCGAGCGGTTCGTCGACCGACCGGTCCGATGCAGAAACGACCCGCAAGCACTTCAACACCAGCAAAACGGTTTCTTGCAGCGCTCGGTGGCCACGGCGTTCGTCGTCTCGCAACCGGTTTCTGGTTTTGGTCAGCCGATACAGCAACGGCCGGACGTTGGCCACGATAGCTTCTACCGTGGGAACAGCGGTGGCTGCGGTCCGGCCACAGCTCAGACAAGCGCTCGACAACCGTACGAGGTTCGTCCAGGCTCCCGGATGGGGAGCTTTTCCAACCGACCCGTACAACACGCGCCGCAAACGAAACAAACACGAACCGTAATGGTCGGCGGGAACAGCTTCCGTCGACTCGACGGCGGTCAATATGGACGTCCATAGTTTGGCGAACTCCACGAAGACCGGTGCTTTGCCGTCGTCCCTCATCTGTACCTCCACGGCGTCCACGGCGTTTGGCCATCGTCCGTGCAAAGCCGTCAACAGTTCTATCTTCGCCTCGTCGACGGTGTCCCCGTTTTGAAAGGGCACGACGGCGCGTTCGCAAAAACCGGACTTGGGTGCTGGCCCGGAAACGCCCTTGTCGTCCAGTATTCGTTTGCAGAAGTCCACGGTTGAGGCCAGCGCCGACTGTCCCACTGTAGTTTTTGCGAACGAGACACACAGTTTGTCCGTTAACTGGATTCGCCAACTTCGACACGAATACGCTACGTACACGTCCGACAGGACACATCTGGCCACGTAAGCCACGAAAGCGTCTCGGTCCGTGGACGCGTTAACCAGGTACTCGATGGTGGACGATCGTCCGTTGTCCTCAAACAGCCGACGACAGGTCTCCTCGACCGCCGGGCATACTAAGCTGCCGTTCCTCTGCCGCCGGTACGTGGACAACAACAAACGCATCGAGCTCAGGGCGAGCAGGGCGTCCTCGCTGTTCCGGTTCCTTGGCTGTACCCATAGTGTCGGGTCTGCCGTAACGGGACACAAACACCCACCGCCCATTGCCAGACATCGGCTCGTCACTATGCTGATGTCGTCTCCGACCACTAATTCTTTGTTTCTATGTTTTTCATATTCCTTACAACGCCGCCGCCTAAACAAAAACCAAAAAATGTAAGCCCATTAAAATGTCATAAATCACTCTAGTAATAGTAATAAAGGTATTCACAGCAACATTTGATCCATTGGGCATTCACAGCCCACTTTTAACCTATGAGACAATGCCCGTAGGTTATAAGTGGGATGTGAATGCCCATTGGTTAAAAGTAAGTTGTGAATGACCACTAGTTAAAAGTTGGCTGTGAATGCCCATTGGTTCAAATATTACTGTAAATGCCCTTGTTACTACTACTCACTTTCGGAATTATTATAAAATAATAGAACTATAAAGTGAACAATCCTTTTGTTTTTTTATGTTATTTCACAAAAGTAGGGTCAATCAGGAAAGCTCTACCCCTCTCCGCCTGTCATTTGTAGGCCCAAAATGTATTCGAAAAAAAGCGCATAAGTTTGGGTTAATAAAATAATTATAGGCGTACGCACAGGTGTGAGTTGTGACTTATAAGGCACACCCGAGGATTTTTTTAGGCAGATATCTGAAAAATGGTCAAAAAATATACTTTCTCCCGAAAATATAATATATTTCTTTTTTTATCAATGTTATCATAAAATTGAAAATGCATTTTTTTCTGAAATCATAGTAACACCTTCAATGCCTCGGTTGACTTGAAAAACATTACACCAGTGTAGTAGATAAGTATACTCTGTACTCATTTCATTGGTTCATATTTTTAATCCATTGCTTTTAACTAACGTGACTGAAAGCGGTTTGTGGTTGTATTGAGAATCAAATGGTATATTTTGTTAAAATGCTAAATAACATGGTTTACACAGGAATATTGACTATTTAAGTAACATTAACTAAAATAAAACATTACTGAATACATTGGTTAAATGAAAGTGATCGTTTTAATGTTTTAATTACATTTTCAAACTTAATAAAATTGTTTTTGAATGTGCCAGTAAACTAGCTTACTTGTAAACGAGCGTTTTGAAGACAGTTACAGTCCACAATAGATCAAGAACGACTGGACACACTATTATGTAAATATTTGTTGAACAAGTTAAAAGAAAAATTGCACACACAAAATTAAAATTAAGTCGTTTTTCATACTTTAAATATTAGGTGTGCAGTTTCTAATATAATAATTAAATTAGAAAAAGTTGTTTATATTCACCAAAACCCCATAAAAGGGCCACCCTAAAATACATATAGGTTATTGTTCAAATTATAGTTATCGCTCATCGATGACCGGTATTAGAAAACTATACTTATTTTTACCATGCACACTTATGGGTACAAAAAAGTAGAGGTATTTGCATTACACAGCAATTAAACAATATAACTGATCATAATTAATTGAGTAAGTGTAAAATACTATAGTAATAATAAAAAGTACTATTTTTTAACTGTACCTGTTGCTTGTACATATGAAACACTATAGTGAATTGGGTAAAAGGTATGGACTAGAAAAAAAAAAAAATAGAAGTCAACGTCGAATATCACATTTATTAATACATAAATAGGATACGAGAGTATTCATAACCTGTTACTTTACTATTTACAGGTATGAATATACAATAGCGTGACACGTACAAAATTGTAGGTAAAAAAAAAAATGAATAATAGAGCTAGGTAATGACAAAATAGATGAGTGAAGTATAATAAATAAATACACGTACCTACTTGATAATTATACACATGCAAAAAAACAAAAAATATATCGTGGAATGAGTAAAACAGGACATGAACACATTATAGAAAATAATATGTAAACGAAATGTTTCACTTGTTATAACTAATTTTCAATATAAATATATCACGTCATCCATGGGACGATATTAAATGAATGTCTGGTAAGAAAGTGAACAAAAAAACCAATGACAAATTTCTTATAAATACAAAGAAAAATGTTACGCATTGTATTTTTGATCTACAAAACGATTTTTTGAAACAACGTAATTAGTATGCCAAACATCCATAATTTGACTAGCATAGTTTTACTCTGCTACTGCTGTTAACTTAATAATCTGCAAAAAAAAATTCGCCATTGATAATATGATAACAAATAATATAAATGTTATGTTAGTATATTATAATTTGGACAAGACAGAAGGTTTATCGTTAAAGTGATCGAGGACGATGCGTACAAATTCAACTACCTTTTAATAGGATTCAAGTTAGATGATCATGCGATGCTTTTAAAACTAATTTTTTTGTGGCAATAACTTACATACAAGCTATAAATATATATAATATATCTGTACTTAATATCTGTGAAATCCAATGAAAAATGTTAGCAAAAATTAGTGAAGAATATTTTATAAAGACTAAACAACAACATCTTAGGAAAATAAAATAACTTTAAAAGGTGACTGAGCCAAATGTTACAAAAAAGAAAATATTTTTAGAACTTAGGTACACATATATTATATAAGTGATAAATAAATATAATATATTACATTTTGTCATTCTCATTCAGTTATAATATGAATGTACCTTTAAATATTGTTTTTCAAATTAAAATAACTAAAATACAAGCATAAATGAGAGAAGTAAATTTACTATTAAGCTAGGACGATGCAATACAGATGCAATACATAAAGATATTTATTACACTGTGTAATGGACTAAATAATATTGTGCACATTCAGAACTAAAGTTTAATTAATAAATATACTATAATAATCTATCACTTAAAAAAAAAAATGCTAATAAAACTAATTTAAGTAAAAAAAAGTTTTATATAATTTATTATCTGAATAATACTTAACTTATGTTAATATCGCTTCAAGTTTGATACTACATAACTTAATCAATTCGATACAAAAAGTCCAACTTCTTTTTTTATTAGTATAGTGTCAATAAATCACAGATAGCAATAATGATGAAAACGACATGATTAAAATAATTTGTAACTATTATTTTACAACTCTTAACTGGAAGTTTATATCTTCAGATAAAAAAAAACACTGGTACAATAGTGGAACACTCTTGTGGGTACTGCGATGAAACACTATCATTATTTTGAATTAGAAACTGGTATGCAAAAAATTAAATACTTAACAGCTTTTTTTAGGTCATATCACATGTTTGCGTTATCAAGAGTAAGTCTCTAGTAGAAATCTTAAATTTATTCTGGAATACAAGTCATAGTCGGAGGACACTCGAATCCTCTCTTGTTTTGCCTTTTTGTGAACTCTATTTCTAGTTATCTTAAGAAAGCTCAATTCCTTCTCTATGCTGACAATATAAAAATATTTTATAAAACTAAAACCCATGCTGACTGCCTTCTTTTACGAGATGAACTTGATAATTTAATATTTGGATCTCCCATTTAGGTCTTTCTCTTAATGTCAGAAGTGCAATTTCATTGCCAATCGCCAATTTTTTGCTAATTTCAGAATAAAGACTAAGTTTAAAACTATAGGTGTCATACTAATTTAAGGAAATCTACAGATATCTAAAGGTGTCTACAATAGTTTTCTTGTTTATACTTAATACAAGAAAACTAAAAAAACAAAGATTAGTCCATATCATATCTCTTTTTTGTTTATTACAAAACAATACTATAAATAAATGTCGAATATCATCAAGTTTAAAATTTTGTATGGAAGTTGAATAAAAATTATAAATAATAAACAATTTAAAAAAAAGAATTACTTGTTCATAATTTTCTTTTTACACTTGAAATTTAGTCATTACATTATGTTTGCACCCTTCAATGGTTTTAATTACAAATTCATTATCAAATTTCTTATTAATGACATATTTTAATTTCAACATTTTGTTGAAATTATAATTAATAGTAACTCGTGTTTCAACTTAAAGGATTATAGGGCTCAGAATATAATTAAATGTTTAATATTAAGTAACTTATAAAAGAGAGCTTACAATTAAGGAACTCACAGTTTATTTTGTTTGTTTAAGTAACAGGCTAAAAACAAAAGTTATATTTTACATAATTTAAACACATTTCATAAAATTTGTAGCAAATTATAATTTTAAAATCTCTTTGATTAATACTGTTGCTTATTTTATCATTTTACTATAGATTTACATTAATTTTTTTTTTTAACGTTTTGCTTTGTACAAATAGTTTTGTTTTATATTATTTTTTTTTTAGTTATTTATTTCTTAATTTATAATACTGTATTAATTTTTAACCTAAAAGACTATTTATGAACTCATAATGAGGTATACCATACTTTTCATCTGAATCGTCCTCATTGTTCTCAAATGGTTTTCTTTTAATAACAAATTGCTCAACAGTGTTTCCGTCATTGTTTTCTTCAGAAATGTCAGGAATATTTTTTACGAGCTCTCTGAGAAATTCAAGGCGACTATCTGCATAGATGCATTGTTTTCTAAAAGTGTTTTATAAAGAATAGATTTTTAAAAATTTCTTTAAAACTTATATGTATAATAGGTATAACAAAATACTCACAAATGGGTGAGAGTTAGAGTTTTGGCATTCCTTTGAGTAGTTATGTTACCTGCTTTGGTCAACAATGACGATACAAAGAGTTCCACTGCTCGAGGTAAACATGACATTAAGGAAATTTATTAACTTTCATAATAAAAATAAAAATAATATAAAATTGTTTACAACAATCATATTCTAGTTTAAGTAACATATAATAGAAAGGTTACAATTGGATATAGTTAATATTATTTAAAGTCATCTTATTCTTTTAAATGTTTTGTCAATTGTCTGTACAATTTTTTCATCAGCCTTCTGAATTCTCCATAATATATAGTTTATAGATCAGAGGGAGATGTTACAATTGTATTAAACAACTTCTAACCATGGTATAATTCAAAACAAAAACTTTCAAACATACTAATGATACCAAAATGAGTATAAAAATATTAGCAGCACCAGTTATGTGAAATATAATATTTTTACTACAATACTATCTATTATTATTATTATTACATTTTAAGTCAATTTACGCAATGTAATTTAAAAATATACCATTGAAAAGTAATGTTATTGGCAATTCTAAAATCACTTTTATTCAATAATCCCTGAAGGGTTTTTTGATATTTTAGACTGTCTGATTTTACTGTTGCTGTTATGACTTTCCTTGAGGATTTTTCCAATCTTTCTCTTCTCGATATTAGATTACAATCTAATACATGCTCGTACTTACGTCATGTACTTAATTATGACCAATTCTACTTCATGTTGACGATGACATATACATCCGTATTATTGTAACTATCCTAATCTTTGCTTTCTTTAACAGCATCACTCCATTGGAGACTCAGTGAACACTAAAAATCTTCTATCATGATTATAATAACAAATTCATCATTACAGTGTGTTGAAAAAGGATATAGATCATGACGGGTACGGGCAACGCTACTTTGCCGATGTCGTCGTCGATCCTCATGATCTTTTTAATGCGCCCCTACAAGTAAAAAAAGAAAAACCAATTGATATACTAGTCAAACATTGGTAATGTTACTGTCAAAGTAAAATCGCATGCTTACGGCGGGAAATCTCGAATTGTATTTTCTCTTTTTGCTGGGCATCGGTCTGTAGTTTTGGTTCAGTGTTGGCGAATTCGAATCACAGTCTAATTGTGTAGACACGGTTAGACGAACAGTGAAATGTGTTTCTACACTAACCCGATTGGGGTTAAGGGTTAACAGAAAAACGTTGTTGGCCTTTGAATTTCCATGTGCCGTTCGTAACAGCCGTTCAAAGGCACGGGCCGTTTGTCAATATTCAATGGTGCGACGATTGTGTGCCGGACATGAGTTACGTTTAAATATGGACGGATTTTGACTAGGTGTAGACCAACAATACTGATTTTGACGTTAAAACATATAACTTACAAAAAGCGTCACCCATGTGGGACAAAGATAACAGCGGTGAACGAGCGCTCACTCGTGTGTGATAAGACCGGGGTCACGACATCAACAACGAATGCAAGGTTTACACCTACATGAATTTTAGAATCACCGTCTGTAATATTACATAATTTATTAAAAACATAATATCTGTCTGCCCGTGAATGGACTTATAATTCGAGAACCCCTGATCTCCAAACATTCGATTTACATGTCTATTCAGTATTCTTATAGTTTATACAATACATAATATATACAAATATATATATACCGGCTGTAGAGAATATACAGCTTCGGTTAGGTTTTTGCCTTCTAGACTCTGGTAAAAATTTTGCGGAGAGAAGGGAAGAGATGGTGATAGGGGAAAATTAATAGTCCCTAATGAGAGACGAGGAAAAAACAGTAATTGAGGGTTAAACCAGGAATAATATTATTAAATTATATAATATAATATATAGAAAATATATTCACCATAGACCTATAAAGAAGACCTTTCTTTATATGTTAATGCTATTAACCGTGGGATTAAATCACAAATTATAGTATTATGAAATCTAGTCTGTGTGAAAAAAACGATTTATAATTGAGCATTCACTTTACGATATTTGGATGTGTGTGTGATTATTTTTTTGCCTCATCCTGTATGGTTTTTTCATTTGCTTATAAAAAAAAAAAAAAAACCAAAAAGTCAATACAGAATGAGGCGTTGGCGGAAGCTACAAGCGACCATAGAGGGCGCTACTAACTGGAATGCGCCAAATTTGAAAGTTAAATAGCGATTTTTCTTTATTAATTTCTATAATTGTACGAAAAAGAACATTTACAAGGATTTTAAGTACCGTGAGTAATTCATTATTCAGTAGAAATTAAAAGTCGTGCTGTCGACATTACGAATATATGTATTGTGTACTTGTATGTATTAATATACAAGCCTAAGTGAAGAAAACCCTACCTAAATGTTAAATTTTATAAAACTATACAACTCATTTTAAAAAAAATATTATAAAACCAATGAATTATGTACAATAGCACATATTTATATTACAATATAATATGTCTATATCTTATTATTATTATTTTATCTAGCTGTGATGCTATCACAGACAAACATTGCTAATGTTTGTCCATTTCATAATAATTCCATAGTATTTCTCAACCAGATTGCAAATATTGACAATACTCTATGATCATGTAATTATTATTATTTGACTATAAATAACCAACTACTAAAATGTAAACAGTAAATTAGGAGAAATATATATTAGCAGCCGGTAACATTACCATATACTCGTACCTTAATAAAATTAGAAATATTTAAATGTAACATACTAATCAAATCATAATACATACAATTTTTATTTTCTTTATACTGCTACACACTATGTAATAATTTAGACTATTTTTTACTTAACTTACGTATTTTATATCAAGTGGTACGACAAAAAATCTGAAAACTCATTTGAATTCCTCAGTGTCTCTTTTAGAGGATAAAGGTTTCTACTGCCTCATTTGTATTTTTATTAAATCGAATATAACATAATAAACCAACATACAGTAGAAACCTTATTTCGAACAGACACCTCTTTCTCTCTTTTTTTCCTTACTAGGCTATATTTCCCTTGACTCAAATCTCCTAAACGCTCGTTCTCTAGATGTACCTATTCCATCATTAATTCATTCATAATCATTCTCATTTAATCCTCTAATAACTAAATTTTCATAAAACTAATTAATTATAATTTTTTTTTTCTTCTAAAACTGACTTTTTGTAATGTCACTGACGAAAGCAATATAATAATAATTAAATTAACAAATATATTGCAATTTCTAAGTGGCTTATAAAAAAAAAAAAAATTGATGATTTACCTACAGAGATAACATATTTTAAAGCTTTTTTATTTATACAATTTATTCAGATTGAAATGGTTTTAATAATTATGAATTGTCATACGCAGTAACTGAAATTTCATATTGCAAGTATTAATATAATAAAATTTATCTTTAAAAAATAAGTACATTTTTTTTATAAATAAGTAAATAGAAATATATTAACTATTTTTTTGACCAGAAATTATTAAAACATCCAGTTAAAAAGTCATTAATTAATTACATTTAACTTTGTAATACAATTTACTTAATAATTTCTATGCTTTCTAAATTAAATCTAATATAAATATTCAAATCGAGGACATATATAATATAGCAAACATATTATTCTATTATCAACCCAAAATGAAAAAGTTGTAACTTTATACTACAATAATAAACACTAATATTTAACATGATTTAAATTATATAAAATATTGCACAAATATTTGTCTAATAGCTAACAATGAAAACGCTGGAATAGTTATTTTTACCAGTTGTGTTAAAAATTAAGTACAGTTTAACAAAATACTAAAATTATAGGCTAAACTATACTTAAACATTAAGAAAATCTAGAAATAACGATCAAAAGTAATTAAAATAATATCTATTTAATTAATGATTTCCCAAACCATCACCTGCACTAAACGCCTTTAACTTTAACATTAATCAACTTGGCCCCTAGGAAAGAGTTATGTTTTCATTATCGTCAGGTCTTGACTATGGTTGTACTGTGACACAGTTTTGACATGGTATTAATATTGAAAAAAAAATCTTATATACCATAGTACACCATTAAGACATCAGACAACAATAAGCATGTTTATTACAAGATAAAAATTACATATGAGAAATTCTAGTCACAAAAATAGTATGACGATTGATTAAAATACAAGCACAAAATTAAAATAATTAGATTGATAATAGATAATAGTTTTTTTTTTAAATTTATACATACGTCCGCGATTCAAAATAGTTTTATAAAAATATAGTCTATAATAAATAATATTACGAATAGATGTTTTTTTTTAAATATCTAACCTGAATGGAAAATAACTGTACATAATTTAAAAATACTGACATCGAAATGTCAAGGAAAATAAAACGTATCCATATAAAAAATACTTTTGTTATGACGTATTAGTAAAAGCACCACATATTTTGTATTTGTTTTTACAAAAAACTATTTCTACTTATCTAACTAGTGTGGCTATAAGCAGTGTTAGTGTAAGGTCCACTGTAAACAGAACTTCCACTGGATGAAAGAGTTTTCTTGTTTCTTCTTGTCAACAATATAAGTGCTGTTATTACAGTCAAAAGCATGAGTATGAGTCCAGCTATGGCAATACTTATGGCAAAGTTGCGTTGAGAAATACAAATGCTGTACGGGTCATCTGATATCTATAACAAGAACAAATATAATATTTTATAATCTTAAATTCAGAAATATTAGCAACAGACTTTTATTTTTATTTTTATTAACTACAATAATAAAATCAATCAAATATTAACAGAATTCTAAATCAATTGCTCAAAGAATATTTTAAGTGAATTCTAAAAATTGAAACTTGCCTTTTCTCTTGCTACTTGATCCATTTGTTCAGGACTGGCACTATCTGCAGCTTCATTGACATAAAGACCACTGTACACTTCAATTGTGGCCGGACTTTCATCGTCAGCTGGCTGATCTTCACGGCGTATACGTTTCTTATTACTACAGTTTGGTGGCTACAACAAAAATGTATGTATAAATATACAATTATTTTTTATTTTTTTTAATGTCAAATAGATGATTTACAGTATTAGCACATCCACCGTTAGCCTTTGTACAAAGATGAACATGGCATTGATAGTAAACTGATGTTGTGTAAGGGAACTTATGAGCTTGGAAATTAACTACAGCGGTAGTTTTGTTTTCACTATATTGAAACTGACCCATTATTTCATCTTCAATTGAACATCTAAAATATAAATTTAATGAGTTAACGTCTTGTATCAAACATTTTAAAAAAAGAATTACACGATTTTCTGCAAATATATGTTTACCCGTATTTATCAATCAGGCGCTGATCACCCCAACCAAGACCGTCACGAACTAAACAATCTGTGATAAACAAACCAAATGTATCTTCACTGTCAATTGATATAACCATTGTCAACGGGTCGCCAATTTTAACGTTTTCTGCGACATCTGGCTTGACAGTTTTTCCAGAAAATATTTTCATAATACAAGTTGGCATTTTAGCTCCTTCAACCATGGATGTTTCTTCGGGAGTGCTACAAATCGTCATTCATTTGAATGTGTTGAAAGTTTCATACATTTCAATATAAACTTGATCATTTTTAGATGTATTCATATCTTTGATTGGATTCTGAAGTTTCGGACCCATTGCGACAATGGAATGGTGACTATTGCTCTGATGATAGATTTTCTAATAGGTCCAAAACGTCAGCACAATAGCAAAGACATGGATACATCTGAAAAGTGAAGTCATTGGTTTGGATATGGTATATAAAATAATAATACAAACCTCATGTTCATTACATTAGTCAGTGACTGTTCGTTTGTTTGGTACTTGCAACGAATATGGAAACCTTTGCCTTGATTAGTCACTAATTTCCTGTGAGGCTGCAATACTATTGTGTTAAAGTATTCAACAATACCATCGTTCTAAAAATATTTTACAAATTAATTATATAAGAAATAAATAACCAAAAAATCGAAATATAAAGTCCATAAGCTAGTACATACCAAATATGTACTCATTGTATTACAAGATCTTAATGGTAGCCTGTAAACTACAGGACTTTTTTGATGATTAAACTCAGCCATGCAACTAGAGTTTTTTGCCAATCCTTTGGGATAGACGATTCCAGTAAATGATTTTGATGTTGTGTCAATATTTACACGTATTTCTTTGTTGTTACATTCTATTGTAATATCTTTTGACATGTCATCATCCAAATCTGTATAAAAATAAATTTATAAATACAATTTTTTTGACATTGAACATACTACGTACACAAGTGGTTAATTTAAGTTTTGTAGATAACACTAAGAAGCAGTGTTATAGCCTAAAAATGTTTACAGCGAGACAAAAATGCAATATTATATTATCCTTTCACTCCTTCACTGATAAATACTAACAAAATTATGAAAATATTATAAGGGTATCAACCCGTTTTAAACTATGTTTTTTATTTAGTCTGTCCATAAAAATTTGTCAGTAAAATCTCCTTTTAAATGCATTTGTTTGAAGATTTAACATGAATACATTTGTATAAAGTTATACTGGCAAATCTAATGAATATCATCACAAGTATTCATTAAACATAATTGTATTTAGCAATCTGTCCACAAATTAGGTAAGTCAAAGAATGAGGTATGGCTTATAATAATTATAAGTTATAACTGTTTAACACTTGACATTGAAGTAATTTTAAATCGAAATACTTGACACATTAATTACCTGATAATGGTTCGTTGATTGTATTGTCTTGAGCACTTATGCACCATACTGCCCACTAAAAAATGTATTTAGATTTTTATATAATGTGGCTTGATTTTAGTTTTAAGCAAGATTTAATAAAACTGTTACAATTGTACTGGTTTAAACTACTAGAAACTTAAGTTATTTTAATGTGAAAAAAATTTTCACTACTAGAAAAACAAGTTTTTTATAACAGTTTTTTCGGTTATGTACCAGAGCTAAGACATGAAAATGTCAATATAAATTTTATTTTAACTTACTGAGAACAGAAGAATACACCGCGGTAGCATCATATCTAAAAAAAATACAACAAAACTAATTAAAGTTTGTAACAACTATTTACATTATATTGTGATTTATACATTCGGTAATGATAATACAAAAATGACTGTACTGTAAAATAAAATTTGGTAGATGCAAAAAATCCACTACCTATATTTATGTAGAAACAAAATAATTATAACATACTTTTTGTAAGGACATGTAAATTTGTATACTTTATATATTTAATGTGAAGGAGAAAAAAAGAAATACGCTTCGATACAGTTAAATACGAATATGGTACACAGATTCAAGCATCGTTAAACAATATTAAACCTTGAACAGCAAAATTTCTTCGTCCAAAAAAAAAAAAACCTTGAAACTACACTTAATAAGAAAATAAAAGAACGATGAAAACAAGCAGTACGGTTTAGAAAAAAATTGTATTTTGGCGATAGTGGTCCAAATGAAGTAACCGAGTAATAATGCATAGGTCTAATAACAGTGTAGAGTTTATGAATCGAACGTGAATCCTATCAGTATGCACACCTGTTGAGTACGTGCATTATTGCCTAATTAACTGTAGAACGTAATAATATTGTGTTTTGGGCTAAAAAGCAGTGTATTGCTTACCGTTCTCGTGGCGGGTACGTCAAAAAACCAAAATCCAAATCACCAAACTATTACAAGGAAGCAGCCGTAAGTATCATAGTTTTCGCACAATGACCGACAAGTGATTCGACCTGCGGACACTGCTAGACGCTTTAGTGTGTACTATGCGGGCAACTCGGCAAGACAACGGGGCACCGTGACGACAGGTACGCTCTAGCCGCTCTTATCAGTCGTATCACACGGACGCCATTGCGCGTCCGAATGGATCCGAAAAAAATAGGATTTGGACAAGTTGCCAGGCCATTTGGACCTTTATATTATTCTAATATCTAACTCGACATTCCGCGGCTGTAATAACACTGCAATATTTGGAGATAGAACGCGAGAAGAACTGTAGTTTATTATTATTATTATTATTATTATGGCCGTGGAGGTAAAACCAGCGGACCAGGTGGAGGCAGAACGGACACTTACCTTGCTCTCTTCGCGGTCCCGTTCGACGGCTTCTACCTTGGGGGGCTTTGTACCGTTGTCGTAATAGGTGTACGCGCGGATAATAATAATGCTGCGAATGAGATGATTGTTACCACACGGTCCGCCTCCGTTCGTTGTCGGTCCGTGCACCGTAGGCGAACGCCATATTAGGAAGAACCTTGCCGTGTATAATATAACGTCACCGTTGCGTAACGCCTCTGAATAAAAAAAAATACTCGTTTTGCGAATCCGCATCGCCGTCACCGTGTAAACCATATTGGACATAATATTATGCTGTATTCTGTTCGCCGTAACACCATCCGAATCATGTTTAAATAACGCCAATGCACCCAACTGCCCACGCAAATACGCCATACCAATATAATATGATGACCATATGCCATGACCTTAGTTCTTAGTCCATAATTATTAGTCTATACTAAAGCGTATAGAATAAAACATGTCTCCTGTTCGGTCGCACGTTCGTCCGGCCGTTAAAGTCACCGCTATTACAATTATTATTTGCGTGTATCAACGCTAGTGGATGTGCGTTTATACATTTATTTTATATTTTAATATAATAAATATATTTCGACGATATGCCCTAACCGATAGTCCACCTTACACATCTCAATAATAAGTCACCGGAAACGTGGTGACAGAACTAGGCTCTAGAGTGTATACAGCGTTTTTAGAGGTGAACTGGGTTGAATTTGTGTCGCGGATTGAAATAGGGTACTTGAACTTGATGAATAAATTAAATTTCAAGTTATAAAAAAAACGTAAAAAAAATGTTTAAACAGAACATACAATTCAAATAAATAATACGTTTTATAATTTATTAGAACGGGAATTTAAAAGTTTTCAACAGTGAAAGTCATAACCCATAAGTACAGTTTATCATTGATCAACAAGAAACAAAAGTTTTTTTTCCTCTTTATTAACGTCAACAATCGAACTAATTATACAAGTTCAATAACCTATAGTCTATTTTATATTTCTATCAATATAGTTAAGGGAAAATATAAAAATATTATTATAAGTACCCCAAGTATGGCCTTATTGTGATATACAAGATAAATTAACAGTTCTTATAAGGGTTCTGACTTAGCCATGACTAGCCATGTTCTAGCCATGACTGATTGCTTATTTGTAAGGGCATACTATAGGCAACATTTCACAAAACATTCTTAGCAAAACATTTATTTTACTAAATTTTCAAACCCGTCGATTAACTGTCAAATTAAATTTTCATACTAGCTCTTTGGTATAATTTAAACGGATACATTTTTTCTATGATATATAACAATTTTGGTGGTGAAAAATGACTGAGGAAAAATTCTCATCTCGTAATTCGATGTTGATATATTGTTTTTTTATTTGAAAGAGGATGACTTCCTACAGGGCACATATTTATATTTTTGATTACATCTCACCAGCGATCAGTGACTACTTCTATTATAATTGACTATTTTTATTGTTGTTACTATTATTATTGTTATTTATATAAAAAAAACAATGAGGGGGAACTGCTAATCACATGACTTCCTATAACTATTGATTACTAAATGTTACCGTTATAATATATTCCTCGATTTATTATAGTAACGCCAAAGTTTTTAAATGTGTAAGTAGGTGGAAAATACAAAAAAAAAATTAAATACCTTTGGTCCAGGGTTCTAGGCTTAAAAAAGTAGGTTATAGTACGAGTATGAACTATGACAATGACGCGTGACCTCATCGCAGTGACTTTGGCGTCATTCATTTCTTTAAATCAATCTACAGAATTAAATTACTAATTACTTGATTAACTGTGTTCAAACTAGACACGTCTGTGTGTATTTTATAGATTCGCGCCTATTTATAAATATATACCTACAAAACATTGACCTATAGTTATGAATCATTTTAAAATTGGGTCCTTTTATATTATAGACATACTTGTTGAACAGAAACAATATTTAAAACATATAATGTCTGTGAGTGTGGGTTATAACTTATACCTCTAATGAGAAATTTGTGAAATATCATCATTATAAAATAGAAATCGTTTTGTTGATAACCTAATGATTTTCGAAAAAAATATAAATAATAACACACAAATATGACGTGTATAATATTATGCTATATATTATTGTTGGCGTATTTAAATATATTATTATTATGAGAATGACGAAAAGTAAAAGCGTTGAGTCATTCAAAAACCGTTTGTCCTACGTACAATTGCGGAATATTGCACTAAGCTAACAGGTTTTGTTTTTGTTGGCATCTATAATAATAATTGTACCTATAGACATATTATGATACACATATATTTTTATTCACTTGCAATGGATTTCACACACGTCGATTGTTCCTAGAGTAATTGTTTTCGGTTCAGAAAATAACATTGGAAATCAAAACACCGGTATTAAAAATAATTGGGTAATTATAAACTAAACTATAAATTATTGGGTAATGTAACTTCGCTAATTATTAGCGAAGTTACATTTTTAAAGCATCTAATTCAAACCAACAGCTGAAGTATTCATAGATGCGATTGCTAATTGAAGACCATGTGTACAAACATTGGTATGAGACATAAGTGAATAAGTCATAACGTTAAAAGGCCTGAAACTAAAGTAACTTAAAACTATCAAATTAGTGAAGAGGTAAACAACAGCGTTTTTGTGGTGTATTGTAATCATAGACATATAAAGATTCTTTATATGTCTATAGTTGTAATTAGACATAAAATCTAAAAAGTGGGGGAATCTCTGAGGCACCACTATACTTAAAACTGAAATGACCATTTTCGCCTACTACACTTGCATTATATGGATAAATGAGCAATGTTATTACCGTACAAATTAGTATACCTATCATACCGCACACCTAGATCAAAACTGAAGCAACTCAAAAAACACTTTTATTCAGGAATTCCAAAAACCTTATTTTCAAGTTTCTGGTATGAGATTGAAGTCAACTATTTTTTTATGATTGGATATTGCATATTAATGTATGTTAAACGTGCATGTGCATTCAGCTTGATGCATAGACAAGTACTTACTTACCAAGACTATACTTGGCTTGATGTCCGGGCAAAAAATAAAGTTGCAACGATTATGGTAGTTATAGAATTATGGAATTAGTCATTCAACAAAAGGTACCTACAGCGCCATCTTTTGGAGAGTAATCCAGATAAATTTTAATTTGTTTTGTTGGTTCATGCAACTCCGTTTGCAGAATCCGATTATACAAATAACTAAAAATATCCACTTTTTGAGTTGTTACAGTTTTGATCTAAGGGTGCGGATTATAGTACTTCAATATTAGATCACCTATTTAAATGGGAAATGATTATAGTTGTTATTAAATAATTATTAATTGTTATCGGAAATTGGAATAATATTCACAAATGTTGGTTTTATTAATTTAAAGTTAAAGCACATCAAATATTTATTATAAATTAATGTACGTTCAAAAAAAATATATTCTCGGTAAATAATTCAGGTTATAAGTAGTTTCATTAGATTATATATAATTATTATAATTCATAGTATATTCTTAAAAAATCGAAAATTTGCAATTCGATCTAATATTAATACTGGACCTACCTTATGTGGTCTACTACATGTCTACACTCTACATATATATATCGACAGTACAATGAAATAATCTGAATTTAAAAGTTAACAGAATATTATTGAAGTTTTTTTTATTTATAAGATTACCAATACCTTTGTTAATAATGTACCTATTCTTAAAAATATTTATACACAAGCTATGCTAATTGTACTCGTTTTGTGTATAAAATGTCTTGTAATTATAGCCACATACCAGGCAGTCATTATATTATGTCAGTTAAAGGGAGCCTCCATCATAGACCTTATGGGCCTTATAATGTAGCTTCCAAATTAAGTCGCGGGAGAAAAGGCGCATAAGTAAACATCGAATAAGGGCAGTGACAGTGTTAAGAATAAGAGAAGTGTTAAGGATAACAGTGTTGTTAACAACATCCTTTAATTATCCTTAAAATATTTCACCTATCCCAGCTATTATAACAGGCTACATCAGTTATAGGCTATAGCCGAAAAGGTAATGAAAACAAATTGTAGGTAGATCACATAGTAGTATAAGACGACGCCGTTCTGTAAGAGACGAAAGTATGGGGATTCTCTCCTCGTCATCGTATTTTGAATCGATGTGACATAACCAAGGAGCAAGGGAAACGCTTAGTTGAGATAAATAATACATTATATTTTATTCTGTGTCCTGTGATAAAATGACCCTTTGTGGAAGTAACGATTTTTGGTTTGTGCGCAGGGTACAACGAGCTAAACGTCATGACTCATGCTATTGATTTTATGTTGCCATGGCGATTTTAGAACCACCGTTACCAGCCACCGATCAGGGTTTGTAGACGAATCACAGGCCGTATCACAGTTTATATAATATTATAATCTGTGTAACTGATGTAGACAATTTCGAATTTACATTTTCAATTTCGTAAATGTTTTTACTAAATGTGTACGTTAAAAATGTTTTATTATTGATATACTTATCGTATTATTATAAGTAATATAGGTATGTATCTTTCGTTAAGCAGACCACTTGATTTCAAACTGTTAATTTCATAATTTACATTTACCTATACGATTTTTATTTAGTGTCGTTTACAATGTCACAAACGGAATACACGTTTAAACCTTTAGTGTTTGAAAAGCAGAAGAGTGTAAGTAACGATATTCCCGATTTGCCACACACTCGAATAGACCATGGAATAGCTTGTAATGATGAATATTTGTATTATTATCGTTATTGTAGTTACGAGGCACCAGGATTGGAGGGCGATCTCCTTGTAAGTAATTTTTCATTCTGATTACAATTCATAGCCATAAGTCTAATACTACCTAAATATCTAAACGTATTTAATTAATTTTAGCCTAATAAAGGATGTTTATGGAAGTTTAATTTGGTCACTTGCCAATGGAAAAACCTCAGAAGCAGACATTTATCGAGAGTTCTTTCATATAGTTCGATCATATTATCAGGAAACTTGATAATAATCTATGGCGGTACAGGGGTTCGTTTTAGTAATTACTGCCCGTACAATATTTACATTGGTAAGTACTTATAATTGCTAAAATTATTACGGTTATCATTTGTGTTTATTTATTTAATTATTCTAGCTGTTATACTATTTTACAGGTAATCTATTAGGGGAATACACCGAAGAGGGCATAGTTTTTGAAGAAATAAATTGTACTAATGGAATACCTAGGATTGGATATGGCCAGTCAATTGTTTTAAATGGACGATATATTTACACAGTTAATGGTTTGTCGGGGTTCCAACGTGAGGCAGATGTTTATAGATTTGATATAAGTACTAAAAAATGGGAAATATTATCAGATGGTAAAGGCATACTCCAAGACTTTGAAGAAAAATACAAATATGAACTAGCATATTACAATCAGTGTATATTCACATTCGGTGGATCTAATGTACACATAAATTCTACAACTAATTTCTTAAATACATTTATGGTAAAAACGCTTCTTCATTATACTTATAATTGGTATTATTGATCATAACGATTTTATTTGTAATATTTTACTTTATTTATCATTTTTAGACTGTTCATGTATTTGATTTGACAACTAAAACTTGGAGGTACTTGGACACAAAACCTGATCAGCAAAGCACGACCCCCGGTTATCCAGAAAATCGTATTAATCATGGCTGGGTTCAGTGTCCTACTCATACTCAGAATGTTTACCTCTTAGGCGGCTATGATAAGTTTAATTTTATGAAAGATGTTTGGTGTTTTAATTTATCTACATTCCAGTGGCGAAACCTATCCATGTGCTCAATACCTAAACCTACATTTTTTCTGTCTGCTGCAATGTCACGATACGGTCATTTATATTACTATAATGGTTTAGTAAGTTTACGTTGTTTAAGTACACGACGGCTTGAACCCCAAAATCATGTGTATACTACTTGGGTAAGGGTGCCACAATTAAAAGAAATGTGTTGGGATGCTATTTTGTTTTACTTTAGGAAAAATTTGTTAAAATTAAATGAAGAAGACCTACGCAAATTAGGATTACCGCTTGAATATTATAAGCTCATAATTAAAGCTAAAGAATTTATCATAAGTGCAAAAGCACAACATTTATCTTCAGACTAATCAAATTTTTTTAAATTTAAACTTAATGATCATTCACAAATTGCTAAAGATAGTTATATCGATTCATTAGGTTGTTATAACTATATAACATGTAGATAATTGAGTATATTACTTGTGCTGTTTGCCTTATGGCTGTAATCATCTTTACTGATGAATAAATAAATAAAATAAATATAGTAAGACTAGTCAGTAAGTTAGTAGTGACAAATAGGTAAACAATTTTAATAAAATTTTCCAGTTTTTAGTTAGTACAACAAAATGTTATATGTAGTTTTATTAGTGCTGAATACTGTACTATTTGGATGTAGGCCTCATTCATATACCTATAATTAAATCATAGGTATATACATAAAAACAGATTTTTAGACTTTGCGCAATGCTTATAGCCTAAATCAGCTCTTGTTCTGCTGTCAAAAAATAAATCTTAAGGTTGATACTACAACAATATAGAGTGTTTCTGTTTCAAATGTCCTTGCGTGTACTGCATAACTTTCTAAACATCCCAATAGACGTTAGTATATTTCATACTTTATAAGGATTAATAGTTGTATGCTTTTTATTTTACTTATTTTACTAGTATTTGTGATTGTGTAATTTTTTTTATACATATTTCATTTGTATCTTAGATTTGTCCATTTATGTGTATGAATAAAAATCTGATTGTAAATTGTGTAAAAAAATTTTTATTTGTTAAAAAAAATGCATTGTTCCTTTATAAGGTACAATTTGGGCTCTTTGCAAACAAAAATTATAGCTTCAACTATTGTAGATAAGTGTCAACGTAAATTAAAAATGTCATTTGCACTAACAGAAATAAATTTAAATTTGATCGTTTGTCAATATTTGAAAAATACTTAAACATTTTAATACCCATTAATTAGGTAATTTAATTTGAGCTCCTAGACATCAAAGAAAACATTTATGTATTCATGTGCTCATGTAAAACATAAAGTTAATAAAATCTAATAAAATAATTTTATATATAAATGGTAGGTAGTTGATGCACAAGTATAGAAAAAAAACCTACATTATAAAATAATAATTTACCTGTGTATAATCAATATTGTATTGATACTGATAGCTGATAATTGTTTTATTACTGATTTCAAGTAATTTATATGCCTTTCTGTTTTTATTAATATTTTAATAACTTCTTTGCTAAGAGACAGTTATAAAAACAAGACAACTCGATGTCTGGAAAACAAATCTGTATTGAGACAATGGTAATAGATTGAATACTGAAAATAATAAAATATTAAATTATTTTGTATTCTGAACTTATAAACTTTAAAACTATTAATAGGTCTATATTTATATTGATGATTAATAATTATTGTACAATGTAGATAGTGAATTTTTTTTACAATTTTTATTAGCCCTTACTAAAAAATATGGTTCATCGATTACAATCGTTTATAATAATTATAGTAGTATAAAACAACTGCAACAATATTATAACGATAGTTAGTAAAAAAAATTACAACGTTTATGGTCATTGGTCAACCTCCTCTCCTTGCTTAGACTTTTGTAAACGGACGTTATTGTGTATTGAGCATTATTAAGACTTCTTTAATAAATTAATTTAAACTTATTTGCAATATGGAAATGGGCGACCAACAATCATTATTCTAACCCTTCATTGGGTAAGTGGGACAGTCATACCCATCACCGAAGCATTTTAACAATTGATAAAATAATGATATTTGTTGATTCTACCTATAACAAATGTTAACTTCAATAGCTGTAGTTAGTGTGCCTAATAACCATTAGTCAACATAGTTACAAATTGTAATTATTTATTATCAACAGTGGTTTTCAGGGCGGTCAACGTAGTAAAAATACTACTATAAGGTTTATTATGTAGATTTATATTATTTTAAATATTGTTTAATCCTCGATGCGTAGCTGAGAAGGTGTTTTTATTACAATGATACATTTTTATTTGTCTATATCAATTTTTTGTGTTGTGTCTGGACCCAGAATATCTTCTAACCCGCTGAACCAGTTTCCTCGGTCAGAAGCTCTAATAATGGGAAGAAGACTTATCATACATTCACGCACGTGAAAATGTAAAAAAGTTAAAATTTAACTAACTATCTAGTAGAGAGAGGCGTTGTGCTAATTTAAAAGTTTAATGGTGTTGTAACTAAAAATGAAGATCAGCAACAATACTTGCTCTAAGTTATTGAAAAGCACAGAAAAGAGTTTCCTGAGGCAACAAAATCCGGTATTATAAAAGGAAAGTTGTGAACTGTGCATATAATTGTTATTTATTTTTGTTTGTCTATAATTGTTACGTATTCTACATAATTAAAAAAAAAGTTCCATGACTAGAATTGTTTTTTTATTTTTTACGATGTTTTATTTTTGTTGCAGACGGTTTTTTATTTTTTTACCATTAAAAAAAAAATTACTTTGTTATTATAATGATTTTGTTTGTAATTAAATGGAGAATATGATAGCATTTTTTTTATTCTAAAAAAAAATTGTTTAAGATAGTTTTGTGGGTTATTTTATCAAGATATCAAGAATTTCCATCTATTTTGGTCCGTAGCACTAGCAATTTCGTATTTTTTTATCAAGTGAATATCAACATTTATTTCTTTTTTTATGCTGGTAATTTTCATATAAAAGATTTTTTTTTTCAGCATTTTTTAATTGAAAAAAAAATTATAGTTTTGATATAAAATCGACCCGAACCACATTTAGGAATAGGATTAAAAATATCAAAAATGATCTTTTCATCCACATAATATCTATTCAAGAGAAGAACAAAAAATGATACTGTAATTTATTAATTTTTTTGTTTTATTCATTAATAGCCTTAAAAATTATCCATAATAATATGCAGTTATTGTGATAACGTTATCAGTTGAAAACCCAAAAAAATAAATATTGGATTGGATGTTTATCATTTTACTCTCTAAAATTTTCAAAAAAAAAACAAAGTTCTAGTTTTCAGATAAAATATCGATGTGTGTGTGTGTGTGTGTGTGTAATTTGTACAACTTTTATTTATAAACGTGTATAGTTCCAATTATTTTCATATTTGAAAAAATAAAGTTGAAGATGGCCACCGCGTTTTTGTGCGATAAGCATGTTCCTCGTGTTAATTTTCATCAACGTATGATAGCGCTAAACACTCGTTTCACACGATGTAGGTACGCACTACGCAGCAGCATAATAGAACAACGTCGGTAACAGGAATTCATAACCCGTACGGCGTTTGTTGGTCGATTCAACGACGCCGGTCGCCGAGCCCGCAACTACGACATCAGACCGAACAATTCGGCCATGAAACCCTGGTACCGTTTTGGCGACATTCGGATAGGACCCTCTGTGCGTCGATGATCGACAATCGAGATATTTTACCAGATTCCGAGTTCTGACGGCGCTGCGTGCCACATTTTAGTTACCGAATACACCGACTACTGTTTAGGTGTTCAATGAAGCATGCCGCACGAGACCCTGGTACTGTTTCGCCGAGTATTCATCGAAAATGAAAACTGAGAAACCGACACAAATTATAAACACATCACATAACTTTTTACTTTAAACATCGCGTATAGATTGTCTAAAACCCTAAACAAAGGAAACGCTCAATCATACTTTTTGATACATTGATTTGGTGTATGCAAAATAAAACCTTAAAAAAAAAATGAAATTGCCCTCTTTTTTCTTCGGTAGTACCAAAGAATATTTCATATACATTTGTAGGCAATTTGGATTATTTAAAAAAAAAAAAAAAAAGAGCGACATAATTTGAAGTTGTACAATTTATTTGGTGTTTTTCTTGATTTTGAATAGGAAAAGGTGTTTTTAATTTTGACCCACTAAAGTACATTCCTGGTAAGGTTTCTGATCTTTAGAGTAACTGCACAAAGAATAAGTACAGCCTTATAGAAGATGTCATGGGTACAGACACAAAAAAAATATATATAAACGCAGCATTGTAATTACAATTATTATTACACCATCTCAGCTACGCGTTGAAGCTAATACAATAGCAAAGTATAACTTATAGTTATTATTTTTTTTTTTTTTTTGTAGGAGTATTTTTTTTTAAAACATGATTGATGCGTTAAGTAAAAATGTATTTAGGTAGTAGGTATGTCCGCAATTTGTGTAAATATGCAGTATTTTCCTTTCATTAATAGTGGTTTTTATTCAATAAGGTATAATACGTTTGAAAACATTTTTTATTCAATTATAGGTACTCAATTGGTGTAATTAAATTTAATATTTTGGTTAAGAATCACAAAATAATATGTCTAGTTTTTATAGTAAACCGCACAAAAGTCGTCATTCTACTACATTTTTTTTTTCTTTGTTCAACAAATGTTATCTATTATAGCACTAACTATGAAACGTTAAAATAATTAATAGTAAAGACTTTAAAGCATAGTTCATTCACCGATATAAATTTTCATTATCTATCACAGGTTCATTCGTTGTACAATAATTTTAACTTTGCAGTTCAATAAAGATAAAATATATAAAATTCAATAAAAATAATTTTTTTAAGAACAATAATTATAAAAAAAAATATCATCTAATTTTATAGATTTTTTTTTTAATAGCTTTGATTTTTGTAGTACTCAATTGTTTTTTTGCCATTGTTTTTCTTTAAAAAATTTGTTTTGGATAATTTTCAAACAATTTTTTTAAAGATATTTTAATGCTGAAACTAAAACTCTATATTACATAGACCTCATAGAAATGTTGTAACCAAATTTAACATTATTATTTACTATATAAATTTTTTTACTGATTTAAGCCACCAAAACTTTAGTATATTTGCTTATTATATTAACATTTCAATTATACACATAAATAGTATTTATATACATAAGCAGACACATACATAAATAAATAATACAATTTCATCTTTAAATAATTACAATAATTATTAGGACAATTTATACACAAACATTTTTACAAAATTAAATGCAATTTAACAGTCAAATGTCAGACATTAATCGTGTAATACTAAGTACGCGACTATAATGTTGGTGTAGAAAAATAGTGTGAAGCTGTGTCTAGTAATAAGGATGGTGTAACTTCAGTTAAATCCTTAATATATGTTTTGGTAGTTTCTAGTAGTTCGTCATATAAAACCCTGTAACATTAAAAATAATTTTGCGTTAATACAATATTGTTTTTGTTTGATTTTAAATTGACAGACATTTTTTAAATAAAATACATTATTAAATCGACAGCAAAATTGCAAGAGACTCTAAGCGACTATCATTATCTTAATTGCTTTCACTCACTTAACAGTACGATAATTGTGCAAAAGTAAAAATATGATAATGTTTATTGGCATACTCAACAAAAAATTAAAACTAATTTATAGGTAATATTTTTTTGTAAGACAAAATCAATATTATAAGACAGATCGTAAACCAATTGGGTTTAAGATCAAACTTTTTATCCAGGTAATTGTTTTGACAGTTTAAAAGACATTAAAAGAACTTTTCATGTATAAATAAAATTTGTTTTTGGTTTTTCGCTATTTTGCAGTACCATCTTCGAAATAGTGAACAATATATTTTTTAATAATTAATATTAATAGTAGGTATTTATAATTTATTTTGGCGTACCATTGCGGTTGATTAACATAGTTGAGAATTGATCTAGGGTGGAAATATAAATCTTCATCGGAGCCAACAGATTTATACACTCCAGTGTAATGAAGATAAGCAGCGTTTTTAAATAGTCCCGATGCAATGCATTTTACGATTATTCTTGTGTCTCCTAAAAATGAAGAAGCCTTATGATTATAAACACCGTTAATAAAAAATATTACATAATTCCATTTCTTTGAGTTTTACTAAGTATCTAACTAAGAACAAATTATTAAAATTATACCAATTTTCACATAATATTAACTTAAATTTTTACTTTCATGGATTAAAATATTAACTAGATATATTTTTTAGGTATCCATGTCTTAATTAATGTGCTAACAATTCAGACCCATTGCAGAGTCCATCTTCATCGGTCTGGAAATGGACTCTGAAATGAATCCAAAACATCAGTAAAAACCTAAGACATGGATACCTGCAAAAATTATAAAATCTTATGTAAATTAATTATCTTTAATAATTAACATTGTAAATTAGTTACCTTTGCACGATTTAAGTGGTATTTTAAATTTTTTCATGGAGTCTAATAAATGAGCACGGATTTTTTGCGCTTTACATAATTCGTTGTAGTTGATAAAATATCGGTGACACCACTGTTTACTAGTAGCTTTATTTTTTAAAAATCCATTGTATACATTTAGTATTGTTATCAAGTCTCCTTCGGCAACCTCAAAACTTCTGTGTTGTATTTTAGCTCTTTGTATCGTAGCTCCGTACTTGGGTCTCACAAACGGATCTTGGAGTTGGAGCATTGCTAATATAGATACAATTTCTGACGAGCAGCCCATTTCACCAGATTTAATTAACATTCTTGAATGTTTTGCTGGCAACGGTATTTCGGACATTACAGTTCCAAATTTGTTTGTTAAATTTCCATATTTGTCAATGGCTTCTAAAGCTTTTAACATTTCCAAGGCGAATAGCAGATTTTTTGCTGGCGGTGGACTCAAAAAAGGGAATCTCAAAACATTATTAATGTATATCGCTTTAAGTTGTAAAACAATATCGGTCAGATCTGAACGCATCATTTCAGGCGGTGTAGCGTTTGTCAAATTGTTGTAGGCTTCTTTTGTATAAAGTCTGTTTAACAAAAACATTAACGATTTTTTTAATTTAAGTGTTTCATAAAAAAACATTAGACATTATACCTGTAAACTTTTCCAGGTCGTTCTCTTCCAGCTCGTCCAGCTCTTTGTATAGCTGATGCTTTAGAAACAGGAACAGTAATAAGTGAATCGGCTCCGAGCCTCGAATTAAACCACTTCAGTTTAACAAACCCACAGTCAATGACTAGATCGAAAAAAAAGTACAAATAAAACGGTTTTATTTATTATCTAATTCTAAACTATAAAAATAGACCAATTACTAACCATTTACGATTCCAGGAATAGTAACAGATGTTTCTGCAATATTGGTAGAAAAAACTACCTTACGATAACCTTTCGGAGCAGGTCGAAATGCTTTTAATTGTTCATCATTTGTTAATGTTCCATGCATTGGAACAGGGTACAGTTTTACCCTAAAATAAAAATGTATGATATTTTATGGGTATTTGGTTTAATCGATGTTAAAAAATATTAAAATGTAATATTTACTTGTCTTGTGTATTTTTAATATTGTAATCATCCAACAAGTTGACAGCTTCCATAACTTCTTCTTTTCCAGTTAAAAATACTAAAATATCACCAGATTGTTCAATTTTGTGAATTTTTATTACTGTGTTAATTACTTCATCAATGTAATTAGGTATTGGTTCTAAAAACAATAACCAAACAAAAAATTTACAATTATATTCACATTATTTTATAAAAACAGAAAGTTTTAGAGAAAAACGGTTTAATCGATAATAAAAAACTTGTGAGTTTAACCTCTTAAATAAAATAATTTAGTTGGATAGGATCTTCCTTCGATGCCTAATATTGTTGCAGTATCATCTTCAGTGTTTTCACTTTGGTTAAAATTGAAAAAAGATTGTAGTTGTAAAGCGTCCATTGTTGCAGACAATACAACCAGTCGTAATGTTGGCCGTTTCTAAAAAAATAAAATGGTAGTTTTATTCCTATGAAATAAGTTAACAAAAGATTAAAATTGTATTATTACTTTTAACACTTTTTTCAATAGACCCATTAAAATGTCGGTTAATAAACTTCTCTCGTGTATTTCGTCCAATATGATCACCGAATAGTTGACTAGTAAAGGATTACTCATCATTTCATTCAGCAAAATACCTTCGGTTAAATACTAAAACAAAAAAAGTTAAGGAATAAAATCAAATACATTCATTATATTATTTACATTTTACCTTAATTTTTGTATTAGGTTCACAACAGTTATCAAATCTCACTGAATAACCAACCAGTTGACCGAGATTGGTTTTTTGTTCTTGTGCTACACGGGTTGCCAATGTTATGGCACTTATTTTGCGAGGTTCTGTTACGGCGATTGCTTTTCCGTATTGACATAAGCCACTATCAGCAAGCATCTAAAATCATTTTTTTTTTTAATAATATTTGACATTTTAGCAGATTATACTGAAGAAATAAAATACAAATTTATTTATTTTACCTGTGATACTTGAGTACTCTTTCCGCTTCCAGTAGATCCCACAAGTATTAATGTTTGAAATTTTTCACATAGATATAAAATTTGGTTACGATGCTTTGTAATTGGTAGCTTATTTCTTTGGCTTTGTATATCCAGTGACATGTATGGATTATAAACAAAAGTTGAATTAATGGCTGATTCAAAATTTGAATCTTCTTCTCCATATCCAGGTTTTTCATCTGTAATTTTAAAATTGTTTAACTTAATTTAATTATAAAGCTAAAATGACCACAAATGTATGAATATAATATAATTGTTACAGGTTTTTTATTCTAATTGTATATGTTTTATAAGTATGAAATACAAGTTTGTTAAACATAGGCTTTCAATTTTGTTTACAATTTAATTGCAAATAATTGTGTGTTGACTAAACACCAAATAAGTTTTCTGTTTAAAAATTATCAATAAAAAAGATTTGTTTAAACCCATTTACCAATGTAAAAAGAAACTAACTACAGTATGTTAGCTACAATTTATTAACTAACCTTTGTTTTTGAATCGAAAACTACTCATTTTGAAACGGCACTAATAAAATTAACTTAAAAGAAGTACTTTTAACATCAATTGTTGAAGAACTCGTTTTACTGAATTGTTTTTGTTGAAAATGAAATAAGATAATCATTAATTTTGTAATTTATTCTGTAAGATACTTGCGAAGTTTAAACATACACTTCAATATTTTTATTTATTTCCAACCGGTCAAGACTCAAGATTCATAATGTTTATCTTTAATACAACTGATAAGCAATATGACATTATTATCAGTCTCATCTTATCATTTCTTATCAATTATGTTAAGTTTTGGAATAATTGAAAAAAAAATGTAACCGCATTCCTACATTTTGAATTTATTGAGCCGTATTATAGTAATTAATAATTATCATAGTACCTATAATACCATTGAGTTTATATTATAATTTATTTTATTTATATATTGTACAATGTATATTTAATACTAATGCAACAGTAAATGTACAAGTTGTATCTATTTTGTGGAATTACTCTACGGCCTATGTCCAAGGTGGATTGACCCCACGGACGAGATTCAAATTTTCGTATAATTATTGTTGTGTTTTGTATAATTATTATTATTAAACAAGTTTATTATACAGCCTCAATTCTTATTGACTTTATTAATATAATTCAATTAAGTAGGTACCTAATGAAAAATATTTTTTATTTAGTTACCCAACTATTTGATAAGATGATGAAGTTTTCCAAGAACTCAACTAAGTGTTTCGTTTTATTTAGAAATGAATAAAAACATTCTAAAATACTGTCCACGAGTACAACTACAATGATAATTGCTATTTTTTTTTAAAGTACTTAAAATGATTTCCTTCTTATTTATTATCGATTAGGTATAATTATGGACTTTTGAAATGAAACAATATATTATTTGCTCTTTTAAACATTAATAAGTACCTATATGTAAATTGATATATCTTTACAATATACACAATAATATTTTGATTATTATTAAATAATTCCTTTTTATCTTCGTATCGAAGTTAGAATGTAATTGATATGTTATATGATAAGTTTTAAATCTGAATAAATCTGTGGTGCTCGAGTAAGAAGTCCCAAATGAATAGCCATAAAACTTATTTAATTTCCTATAAAAAATATTTTTCATAGATTAGTTTGCTAAGTATTTAGCCCAATTTTTGAAATTTTCGGACTAAATACCTTTTAACCAAGGACCACAGAAATAAAACAATTTATTGTATGGATGATATGAAAATGGTACAAAAAATGAACTCATTAAATGTTTTATGCATGTGCATCTGTCCTTCAAAACAATATAGTAATCGTTGCTTTTTTTATTCATAATGGTCACGTTTTTTGAGTTAAGATTTTAATCTAGTATCCATGCCATATTATAATAAACAATGACATATTGACATATTATATATGTACTATATAATATACACAAATGTATAGTTAGGTATTTGTCATTTGATTTACAGAACTACCCGTCATACACAACAGGAACCAAGTGTACTCCATCCTAAAAATTGTATAATACATAAACATATAAATATGTATGTATATATATTATATATAAATATTAAATAATAAATTATATTATATTATAATATCTAATAATTTTTTTTTTTTTACTTGCTCTTCCTATCGATAGTAGCTTATTTAAATAAGAAATCTCTAAAATTTTAGATACCTAACTTAAGTTAAAAACTAATCAGTATTTGTATAATGTATGAATGGATAAATAAATAGTTTATTCTGTGGTTAAAACATTGTCCAGCCTACGTTTCCAAGATAGCACGTTCTACCAGCAATATTTTATTTATTACTACGGACTACTTAAACAATGTTTTGTTTGATTTAAAAAAAAAAATAAACACAAGTTTCATGTGCCCACGGGCAAAGTGTTGTTATTTCTACTTTCAAGGACATGTATTAGTAATAATAGAAATATTGGGATGTCATTTACAAAGTGAATTGTCAAATTATTTTAATTTTTGCAATACCGTCATTATAGGTGATTTAATGAATATCATGGAAACACAAGATCGACACGAATAATAAAATATACAAATGTACAATCATATACTATTAAAAGAATGTTTTATTTATCTCTATGTTATCCGCATGCTGGGTAATGGATATATTATAATGGATTCTTGGAACAAAAAAATAAACTCATGATCTGTGCATAGGTAATACTTGTATTAATAGTACGTTAGAGTACTGATATACATAATATAATAATAATAATGATTCAATACTATATAGTAGATATTATATAGACACTTCTTCGGTTAAGACAACAACCACATACATAACTATGTAGGACATTATTTTGGTCACGATATTATTATTTTTCGGTCAATGTGTAGTATAAAGTATAATGCAATAAATTATGTGGAATGGTGAATGGCCGAAGGCAACGAGAAACGTGACAGAACCGCATGATTTCCGATCTTATCCGATCCGATTCTTCGAATATATTATTATTATTTAAGCGTTATAACAGTATTACAATATTTATTGTATTGCAATTTAAAGCTAGTCTACATTATTGGTTATAAACACCACGAGCGCTTCATATATTTGCGCACATCAAATAATATAGTATAATTCAATTTCAAGTGGCTGGTAAGTCTTTCAAATTTCAGAACCGATTGAGCAGTGCAAGATGATATTAAAATGCCGGCATCTAATTAAGCTGGATTTGAAAGCGTTTGTATAAAGTATTAAAACTTATTAGAAGTACAAACTGTTTGGTGAAACATTCTATATCTTCCATCTGTTATAATGCGTTGCTATTAATTTAAAAAAAACAATAATTACATTTTTGTGGTAGGAACGCCATTGTGTTAGACAGTATAATGACATAATAATTAATTTTTAAGAGAAAGCCACACACCAGTTATTTAAAATTGTACATTTTTTTTTTTATAGTTGACTATAATTTTGGAATCAGAATTTATTAAATTCGCTTTTCAGATTTTAATATTTTATGCAAATAAAATAATAAAATTACGGTATTAAATAAACATTTATTTTTATTTTTAACTTGAGTTTAAAAACGTTAATTAAAACCAAAAATCCGGATAGTATGTCAATTTGGATACCTACTTCAGAAATCCTGATTTTAGTCCCATCCTTAGTTTCAATTTATGTTATTACCTACTTTGCATAAACGAATATAATTTTTAATTTTTTTTGTCGAACAATCCATACAATTTTTTTTACCTACAATTACTACCTTGAAAAAACAATTAAAAAAATAGAGCACTCATAATTAATTCCGTTCAATATAATGATTAATGACTAATGAGTAATTTGTTTTAAGATTAAACAATTTTTATTGTGTGACACTCTTACTACATTAGGTACTAGTAAAATTAATTGTTTGATTTTCTTCAAAAAAATGTTAAAACAATAGAATATTGTATCAATAACATATAGACGAGCAGTTGGAAAAATCCTTATAATCAAGTCCGGTGTCAATATTAAATAGTTGCAATTCGCAAAATTGGTTTGTTACTTGTAATTTTTATCTTACGATTAATTAGGTGCCCAAATCCCAATAAACGTACATAAATAGAATGTTAAATGATGTCAAAACCTAAGCCAAGTGAACTATAAATTGCGTACCGTTGTTGTGATAAGGTCGTAGCTGGTCTTTTTTCAAATGTTTAGTATCACGAAGCAATAATATCAGCATTCAGCTGTACCATAAGTCTAAAGAAAGGGTTAGGTACTCTACTTTACTTTGAAAATGAACTTAAAAGTTTTCGTTTTAAACAAGACTCTGTTATATTTTTTACAAAACTCGTCAAAAGTTTTGTCATTTTTTTAGTACTTTATAATTTACACGAAAAGTTGATATATGATGGACTTTCAGTCCATCAGAGAACTGATATTATTTGGAAATATCTGTAGCATGTAAACTTTAAACTGGGTAATTATTTTAGACTGTCGATTAACAGTTTGTTCGTGATTTAGCTTAGGCACAGTTTATAAAATATGAGCCATCCTGTAGTTGTGCGTTAACTATGAAAGATTTGGTCCAGTGGTTCGTAATACAAATTTTTAATTTTATACAAAGTATTTGTGATATTAACATATATTTGCGTATGGACCATAACAATAATAATAATAATGTAGGCACTATCATATCTATCATACCCGTTTCCCTCAAAATTATTGTATACATTTTTTTTGTTTCCTATAAAATACATATATTTCGTATAAGTAGTAATGTAAGTTTCACAGTAAATAATATATATATATATTTTTTTTTTAAATAATTATCATTGTTATAATTATTATTATAACAATGAACAGATAGATCGATGGGTATATCTACCTATGGTACGCAGGTACTTTTTATATAGGAATGCTGTGTTCAAACAAGCGTACACGACATTTTTCTATATTATCTGAGTTAGATGTCAATGGCCGATTAGTATACCTGTATACGCGTTTTGCATGTTGTCGGTCGGTGGCGTTTTATAACGCATTGTAGAGCACATACACACGAATCATTCATGTTCACTTCCGGATTGTGCGGAAGCCATTTAAAAAAAAAAATAATAAAATACCGAGCTCGCCGGCCATAAGGCCACGACCATACTTGTATTATTATGAATGCATGCGTACAATATAGTATATCTATACACGATAGGAAGAACGACGTTTCATTTCCTATATAACAAACCGAATAAATGCCCGTTGTCGATTTAGCCGACATTCATTGGTACTCTCGGTTGCAGATAGGACTTAACAAGCAGATTTTCGGTCATCTCGATCGCCATACAACGCAACAGGTAACCGACACGATTTCAAATCGAAAAATCATCACTTTAGCACAGTGCACACACACACACACACACGTATTATATTAAATAGCTGATGTAACAACTTAAATCGGCGACGTGCAAGCACCTCAATGGTCGTGAAAGATTTTTCACCACCGCACAAGAGCACCACAAGTTATTATTAGATATGAAAAAAATTTAATAAAATACCTAGTCTTGCGGTTTGCCATCCGGGCAGAGTAGGTAGGTATACTTTTTAGTTTCAACAAAAATCCGAAAGAACACTCATCAGTGGTAGAAATAGGAACAAATTTATAATCATTTATAACAGCTATACTTTATTATTATAATTCATTTTTTTCCCCAAAAATATTAATTAACAGTATTTATTACACAGTGCATATTTAAACGTTTATTTTGCAAAAAAAAAAATTACATGGGCTACATTTTTGTCTAAAACATAGTTGTTTGGAGAGCGAAATTTTTAAAAGTTACATATATATGCTAAGCCTTCCGTATTTGCGCTACTGGTACCACTTCACTTTCTTAACATCCTCCTCGCATTGATAACATTCGCCAGAGACGGGCTGAGTAAAGTGATCGACCACCGAGAATAAAGAATTTATTTTTTTAATTTCTATTTCATTTCTTCAAAAAGTGTTGAACATACCATATTAGATTAAGTCCATATTCCTATGAATTTTGTATTTACTCACTAAGGTTCATTATTTGAACCGTCTTTAGGTTTTGCCAAGACCAAAAACTTGGTGAGATCCAATAACATTATGATATAGTGAATTGATATAATGTCAGCTTGACTATCCCTTTACCTCAATAGCAGCCCATCTAACTAGTAACTACTAATCAGGCTAGTCCGTCTTTGGGAATTTTAAGAAGATAAGATACAAGACAGTATTAAAAACTTCCTAGGCGAGTGTTTTATGTAGACTATTTAAAAATGACTGCCTCATGATTGTACGTTATTTTAGAATGATATCGATTTTAGATAAGTTTGATTAGTTAATGTGTGCATAGTCCACATGTCTGTAATCTGCATGCTACATCATAAGTTATTTAGTTGGGTTCCTACATATAATCACAAATTAGATAAAATAAATTGATTTAGTCCAATTTGTGACACAATCTTAGTGGTTGATAATAAGCGATATAATCAAACATAGTTTCATTTATGTTAGGTAGGTAGGTTTTAATAATAAATTAATATATTATGAAAAATAAGATTGGTCACTTTCGAATATAAAGTATTTATTTTTAAAAGTGTCAACTTTTAGTAAATACACAACAACAATATAGATTATCCATAAGTCATAACTAACACAGCTATACTTCATAACAAGGACACGATTATATTATATTACCTTATATAAAAATATACTTTATGTGCCACATATTATATCTTTTGATATTAAACAATAAAAATAATAAATCTTTAACAAAAATAACATTTTATATAATATAATAATAACAATAGCGTAATAATAATTACATTAATCTCACATTTTCTACTCACTATATCGTTTGAATAGGTAATTTATAATTTTTAGTAATGGACAATAAATGACTTAAGGTATTGCTCGGAAAATAAAATATCGATAAATATGTATATTATCAAAACAAGAATTTATCTATTATCTTTAAGCCCGGCAATAGTGTGGTAAAAAAATAAAATGCATACTTAAGCTAAATGCCATTTTTCTTGCACAACGCTTCTGGCAATAGCAAAAGCGTGCAAGTTATATATTATATATTTTATTAATATTACTAACAAATAATTAACCAAATAACTAATAACTATGATACCCGTATTCGTTTACACTGTTTAGTAGTTCTCACCATGTTGCACTTCAAAATCCATTTTTATTTGCCTGCGTAATTAGTTAATCCCTATGGAACAGTAATACAAACACTTTATTCATTTTAAAATAGCACCACTTTAATATTATCATAATTAGTATTTTGTTCATTAGTTGTTTTGAAAGGCTGTTGAACTTTATATGTCATATCGTTTAGGAGAGTACTAAGTGGAAATGTTAATGAAGGTAAGAAGTACTTAGTCGAAGGATTTTTAAAATTAGAAAATTAGAAATAATGTTAAAAAAAATGTGTTTTTAGATGACACAAATCTAGGGTTTCTTTTGAATTTAAAGCTTAAATCGAAAAAAACGTTTGTTATTTATCACAGGTTTCAAAGAAGCCTACAAACTTTGAATTCAATTGGTCGATTCATTTTTAAGACAACGCACAATGATACAACAAGCCAATCATTCCGATCAATTGTTAAATTTGTAACTATTCGAGTTTTTTTATTTTAGCCAGAACGACCTAGACTTTTACGAAAAAGTTATGCAATACACATTTGTCAACTTATTTGGGTTTCTCAATAATCGAACCTTGGCATTTTATTAAGACGGTTCGTTGTCGATGAAACCTTGATATCGTTGATAAAAAATTATTGACATCGGAAAACCAAATCACTTCTGTCATATTAGATTAAACTAACTAACATTATACAAACCACGAAAATATTTTGTGTAAACTAAAGATAAAACTTCAAGAAAATATTGTCTATTGTTTTTTTTATTATTACACAAGTTCTATAATTGCCATGTATTTATTCTGTTTTAGAACTGAAATTTATTCTCTTTCCAATTATGACTAAGTGCTAAATATTGCCTTTTAAATAGTCACTAAGCATAATAGTGAAATGCTATAGTTTCTATGTTTTGATCTTTATTGTAATATTCAAATAATCAAGAAACCCTTATAATAGTCTTGTGTAATAATAGGAAACTACCTAATGATGTCATAAAAAACCAATATTTGTGAAATTATCATTTTATGTTAATAATAATAAAATATATTAGTTGTTAATATATATTTATACAGAATATAAAATTATGTACGGCAGTGGTTAGCAAATAAATTTTATGTTAAATATTAGCAAACATCTTAAAATAACATCAGTGGTATCCACCAACTGATAATGTACTTTGTTGATTATTTTTAGAGGTTATTAAAAAACTCCCTAACATAACTCTGTTTTAAAATCCTCTTTTTTTTATGTCAAAACAATGTTCTACCAGCTTAGCATAGACTCCAATAAGTAATTCTTTGACAAAGCATAAACTAGATTCTAGCGTGATATTTAATGAAAAGAAATGGTATGGATTTGGTTCCAGTTTTCCAAAATTTAACTTTATATTTATATATATATATATATATAAACTGTTATCAAGAGGTGACTATCAAGTAATTTTAAACTGTGTGTTTATTAACCTAACTTGATGATATTTTTATTTTATAAGTCGTTGTTGATGGACGTTTCGCACTACCTACTCATTTTGTTTTAAATGAGATGAGAAATTAATTATAAAACAATTATTTCTTTATAGATTAGACTAGTATGATTTTAACTATTTTTGTGATACATTAACATCAGAGAAAAATATATCAAGTTGTAATAACTCTAAATATGTAGATACATTACGTTGAAGCTTTTATTGTCAGAGTAGATGCTTTAAGGTTTTTTGTCTCCTTTTCGAGTAGACTTTCAATCAAATTTTGTAGAGTCTGTAAAAATATAAAACGTAAGTCAAATAAACACTACTATCAGAACTACTCAGACTACTCATCAGAAAATAAAATAAATAAGCTTAAAATGTTTGATGGTCTTAAGAAGTTCACACACTTTTGTAGTCATTTAAAAATTTATAAATAGCTGTATATACAATAATGCATTAACTGTTTAGATTTGAACTCTTTTGTACAATAGAGATTTTTGGTTTTAGTTTTTTTTTCTTAAGGATAATGAAAAAGTTTCTTATAAAAAATTATAATTTACGGTTTTAATGATTATTAGAAAAATAGAATATTAATATTGAAAAATGTATACAAGTTGTTATAAAATAATAACAAAACACATGTTTTATCTTTATTAGATAACTTGTGAAAAAAAATGACATGGTAATGCTTATGAGAATGTTTAAAGGTCAAATATTCTGTCATGTATGTATTTATTAATTTAAAAACTTTATAATATTTTCTTCGTTACACAGAAAAACATTGAATCATGGATATGTGTTTGGTTATGTGGAAAAATCTTGTTATCAGGTAATCAGTGAAAGTGGAAATAAAAAAATATTCGGTAACACTGAAAGCAATAACGCAAAAAAAAAAACATTGTTTATCCAGCCCAAACATATTAATGTTAAAATGCACTATAGCGTCGTTGCCATTTTACCAATAACAATTGATGCATTTTTTAAATATATAAATGCAATAGAAGAATAAGTAACTACAAACAGTTAATTTACCTGGGGTTTACAATGTTCCTCGAGCCAGCTGAATACACAAGCAGAAAGTTCAGTAAAATTATTTACATTAACATTACAAAATGTGAAGAATAACTCGTCAATGATATTCTGAAACTGAAATATATAAGTTTTATAAGTGACTATTTTTTTTTCCATTGGATAATATCCTAATATAGTTATAAAAAATAAATTTCCAAACAAACCATTTGAAATTTTTCCTCGTCTGGAATTCTAGCTTCTATATGACCTAGTGGAATATGTTGAGCTTTTAACATTTGTTCATAGTTGGCTTGCATTATGCGTAATGCCACCACTTCTTTACGTAGAGCATTGCGTTCTTCTTCCAGTTTCTTTTTTTGTAACAATAAACACTAAAAAAGTATAAGAATAATTCAATATTCAAAATTAAACACACATATAAATATATTAACATGTATAATATGAAGTGTTTCAAGCCAAATCTTTTGGTTTTTTCAATCAAAAGAAAATCTTGTGATATACTTGTTTTTCTTTTTTTTTTCATAAAATTTTTATTATAATTAATAGAAATATATTATTTTATGCTTAAAAAATATAAAAGAAATATCTTCGATAATCAGAAAGAAAATATAATTCAAGAAAACTAGTTTTGGTAAGTCCTAAAATGGAAAAAATATCAGCTAAATAAGTAATTTAATTGTAGAATATCCCATACATGAATATGTGTTTTTTTTAGGATATGGACTTACTTGTATGTAATCAATCGATTTCTGTAAAACTGTTGCTTTACTTAATTTGTAACCACTACTATCTGTCTGATGACAAGTCGGTACCAGATCTTGAAGACAATCGTAACCTTTTTTTATGGCATCACGACGCTTTTGTTCAGCTTGTGTATGTGCTTCTCGACGCCTTTCCTTATAGTTATTTGGTGAGCCTTTTTCTTCACTATCATCATCTTCTAAAATAAACAAAAATATGTTTTTAATTAATTAAACAAACTCCATCATAATACGATAATTGGCGAGAGAATAATAAATAATATGTTAATTATTAAATAAATGAATATTAACCTTAGAGTAATTAATTATGAATGTTAAAGAATAACACTATATTATTTACTATTCATTTATTTAATAACTTGTACTTACCATGACCACTACTGCTACTATGATTTGCATGGAGAGAACTACCACTACTGGAACGACTAAATGGATTAGGATTACGATTTGGGCTTGTAGGTTCAACTTTCATATCTACAGATTGAATAATAATATAAAAGATTTCAAAAATACAAACACAACATTTTCAGAAATTTATTAGTTAATCAATATGATGGAATTGGAATTTGGATGTAATAAATAAATATTAATTGCAAAATACATAAATATATTATGTTTAAAATCAAACTTAAGATTGCATATGACTTACCATCACTGTCTCTAGAATCCATAATAGTTGTTAAACTATACAATGAAAAACAAAATAATCTAAAAAAAATAAAGATAATAGTAATAATTAAATTGAGTTACGTATTTTTCTTCAATGAAATTTGCTTTATCAATCAGTATTAAAAAAAATTACTTTATATACTAAAATAACTTAATACTTTAATACATTTTTAACACATTAAAATGTAATTAAATACCATCTTCAAACTTTTTAACAATAGGGTTTAACAACTTTTTATTTTACATTGACAAATAATGAGAATGGATACTAAAAGTAATGAAATTTAAGCTTGAGAATGTAGATAACAAAACAACAAAGTTGTATATTAATTGACATAAATAAGGTTAAGTTAACTTTATTGACTAGATTTATATTAAACATTAAAAATGAACTAAGATAGATTTTATGGTTAACATGCTGACAGTTAAAAGACTATTTGTTGTAGGCGATATTAAAAAGACTGTAAACATTTTTCTGTGGCATCGATACAAAGTTGAAATTATTAAAACGATTGTTTTACTATATTAAAATTAAATTTTTTTACAATACACATAAAACTAATTTACTATATATGAAGTAATGTCTAATACTTACTAAAAATTGTATTTTTTTTAAAAACAAACTAAAATCTACTTATTTTCGATTCATGAAAATGAACATGAAACATTTTAGGCTTTCTGGAATCAGTATAGAGGTGACTTGATAATAGCTCGAGTTATACTTACTGACCATTCGAGTTTTGTTTTTGGAAATAAAAATTATACGGCAAAGATAAAAAAACTACTTATTATTGATTATATATCAAATGCTGAACTATGAAACCAATTACTTACTAAATATATAGTAGTATCTAAAACAGCGTCAATTTGTAAAATTTCAAAAATCCAATATTGTATGACTAAAGTGTTAACTAATAACGAAATAACATTTCTTTCGGGAAAATAAAATATATAATGAAGTATTAAAAAAAGACTAGTTATATTATATACTATGAGATACTAAGAACTATGACATGTTATTGTATAAAATATTTATTGATATTTTATTAAAAAACGTAATAATATTAAATATTGTGTTATCGTTATAATAATTATCATAAACGATTCTTTATCTATGTAGAGATAACAAGCTAATTCATTGAATAAACCATAAACCACAGTATAATCTTGTTGATTGATACCTATTCTTTCAAATACTCTTTGGGTTATTATGTGCCTATATTATTTTAATTTTTATCGTGAATTAAATAATGTGTGTGTGTACTTTGTCTTCACAATTTATGTATTTGGGGTAAACAAAGTAATAATAACTAACAATAATTAATTATTAAGCAAAAATTGAGAAAAATCGATAATTAAAAATATCGATATTAATATTGACAGATATCGATACATAATATTTCATAACCCGTTACTAGATAATTTAATTAAATTATATCCAAACGAAGTACCTATTTATTAAGGGAGATAATAAAATTAACGAAAACTACCAAGAATTTATGATTCATGAAATATATATTTTAATAAAAAAATCAGAACTAATGTCTTGTGTTTTCGAAGAAAGAGTGGCAACGTTAAACTATTTATTAAATTGCTGTATCAAACTTTCAAATTTGGCCCATCTTGATAAGTCACTATGTCAAAAAGATGTTCATTCGCGCATTAATAACTATCTAAAATATTTTTTTGAAACCATAAGCGATAATGATTATTACGAGCTAAGAATAAACCAATTGAACCTGTGTTAGTGGGAATTAACAAACGGCCAAATTGAGTGATAAGCAGAAACTTATAAAAAAGGGGGGAAATGTTAGACAGTATTAAAAGTGCCGGCGAATAACCAAAGTAAATTTAAATGAATATTTTGAAATTTTTTATAATAGGTACAAGTGGTAAAGAAAGTTTTTTTTGTGAAAAATGTGTTTTGCGTGGATTATCGCTAACGACCTAACAAATACCTAGTAATAATATGGTTTACATTTAAACTATACAACATTGGGTTTAATTAAAAATTGAAATTGTTTTTATACAGGGGGATTATATATTTTTGTTCATAATGTTTTCATAAGATGTGATCTCAATTCTTCACAATTTTTTTCGTTTTTGCTCCCCTCCCAATTTAGTTTTTTTTATAGCAACATTTGAAACTTAAACTGTAACCTATACATTTTATTAACTTTTTAAATTGAGAATAATGTACTAATTAATTAGACTGGTCGATAACCAGATTTGTATAATTATTTTTAAGTTATTAAAGTTTCAAGTATCTGCGCGCACTTCTCAACCGCACTTCCCTCCGATACCTACTAACTTTTAAACTCTTATAACTTAAAAGTTATTTTCTTTTCAATCGCATACTAAATAACTATGTTTTAAGTACACATGTACACAGTTGTAGTTATTGTTTTATATTGTATAAATATATACATATATATATTTTTTTGTTTTATATTATACCAAAAAATGTATTACAAACTGTTACTTGTAGTTCTTTATGGTTTTTACATTTTTTCCCCAAAATCGTTTATGGCATGTAAAGTGACCAACAAGAAAATGACGGTGTTGCTTGAAGTTTTAAATTGCATTCGTACGAAAGAAGGTTGGGGCGAATTAGAGAGTAACAATAGAGAAAATTACCCCGAAAAAGTGCGACGGTTAAAGTTAATACTGGACAGCAGATACTTACAAAGATCACAGAAATTTTGGATTATTTTACAAGGATTCTGGAAAAGCTGTAAAAAAAATATGACGGGTGAGAACAAAATGAAGTTGACTTTTGCTTATTGCGTGACGGAGCTTTATGATTCGATCAAAACTTCAATTCCTATGATGAACCACATTGTAAACGGCTTGATAATCATAGAAAAGATATCAAAGCCTAATGGGGTTCATTATAATAATGCAATTTGTTTCCTTGCAATTCATATACAATTAGCTCCAGAAGATTTCATTAAATTACATCCGAACGAAGTATTTATCAAGGAAGGTGATATTATTAACAAAAACTTACTCGAATATCTATTTTATTAAAAGAAGCAGCAACAAAAGTATTTTCGAAAACTACAAATACGTCTTGTGTTATCGAAGAAAAAGTGGCGACATTTGAAGATTTCTTAAATCACCACGTCATTTAATTTATTAACATTGAACATCTTGATTATTCACAGTACCTCTAAAAGATTTGTATTCACTCATCAATGACAATCTCAAGTCATTTTATATTACCGTAATCGATAAAGATTATAACGATATCGGAATGAAAAATTTGGAACCTGTAGTTAACAGCCTGCCCATTAACAAACGTATTCAAAGGTTTGTTACTAAAGAAAGGCAAAAACTAATTAATTAAATGTTCCAGTGAGTAAACATAATAATTGACATTTTAAAACAAATATTCATTAAACTAAATAGACCAGTCGTACAATTAGCAGTGATCTTAACTAATTGAACTCTGAATTAAATTGATCAAGAAATCGTTTTAAGAATATATTAAATTTTAATTTAATAAAAATAATGTATAATATGATATTTTAGTTTTATTTGAATATAATTGATGGATTAGGTATTCTCAAGTAAAAGTATAAAAATAAAATTTCCTTTTTTTAGCATGAAACATGTTTTAGCCTTGGCCCCTCAGCCCGAAAACGACACTAAATTGCGATACTAAATTAGCGCGCTTACTTTAAAAGTGTAATACCAATGTTGTACATCAATATAATATACAACATATGAAGGGCTGCGGGGAAAAAAGATCAATGTCAATTTGTTTTGAAAATGAGATTTTGGTATAAAATTATTTGTATTGACGTGTTGTACCTTTTATGCGCTCGAACTAGGGAAAAAACAGATTTGTCAAGAGTAACGACCGCTGGGAGTTTAGACATACAGGGATATCACGGGAGCTAGCAGGCTAAAGCATGTTTCAAGTGTTATAATTTTAGCCGTTAGGTTTTAAGTAGACTGTAACTTTTTTATTATCTTATAAACATTTTTCCTCCTCCTAAAACGGAAGAAGGAAAATGACATGGTCATTTAACTGTGTTCATTTCATTTCGGACTCCATTAAAGTTATTCAAACCGTCGTAAACGTCTAATAGACCAAGTCTGTATTGAGCCTATACATTTGTTTTGTCTGGAAAGTTAGGAACAGGTTCGAGTTAATGATAATTCTGTCGAGTATTAAGCGAACCGAAATTAAGTCGCAAAAATTTTCCAATGACATTATAATTAGAAGTACCGACTGAAGTTTATACGAGCTATAAAAAATAATGGAAAAAATTAATTTCCCGCCAAAAGCATAACAACAAAACTATTTCGACGAGTTTGAATTATTTTTAAAATTTTAATTGTTTCAATTATTAGTATGACGATATGTTATAAACTAAAAACAAATATTGTTTCGTGACAGTAAAAAACAGTCTAAATCATTTCAATTTAAAATAAAACCGAGGTGAGCTAAACACACAAGTCGTGACTGTAAATTAAATTTAACCAATGATGTACAACATTTAAAAATAGGCAATAACAATGATTCAAAGAAAATCTAAGTTTTGTCTTAATTTACCGATTAAAACTTTTCTGCTATTAGCCTCTATTAAAAAATATACATATCTACTATTATTTGCAGTAGAAACAATTAGTTTAGCTAGAAAAAGATTCAAAGACCGTAAATTACATAAAACGACCATTTTTACATTACCTCATAATTATGTCAAATAATTGTCTATACGACTAGTTATCAACTGAGTTACTAGTGTGAAAGACGCAGAAGTGCTCAACATTTATCCAATTAAATTCCATATTCGTGTATTTAATTTTAAAATAGAAATAAAAATAACAATTTACATCAAATATACCACATGACAATTAAATATTTTTAAAAACATTATAGATTATAAAATAATTGTATTAAAACCTTTTAATAAACTTAGGTATCGTTTATAATGATTATTATTTTCCATAAAATCTCGACAAAACAAAAGTTTTATAAAAAAATGAATACATAATAATTAATGTATTTCTAAATTGCCGTGTGCGATAGATATGTATTCGTTATGACTGTAAAACACGTTGAGCTCTATTTAAAATATTTATTTTCATTCGTATAATGTTAATAATTCTAAAACATTGAAACAATAGTAAAAGAACATTGTTAGTATAGTAAAATATTTAAACAAACCCCTAACCACAAAAACGTTTCCAATATAAAGTCAGTAAAAAAACTGAAAACAACATTTTATTTATTGTTATAATATGTTAACCCTGATACCCCGAAGTTTTGTTGGTTATTTCTAAATTGCTTTGTTTGTCTCACGTTTTCCTCTCATTGTCATCGGTCCCATTGGAATATAAGAACCTATCTTTTGGGTCTTCATATTGTTATTGTCTGCAAGGTCACTAATTCGACTAGCTACTTCCTCTAACCCATACCCCGAAGACGGTCTGGACAAGACCTGACGTTGAGGTATACTAGGCATTTGAGGCATAGTAAACGAGAGGGTAGCAAATGTAAAAACTAGAAAGCAAACCTGTAATAAAAAAACAAATAAATCACAATTATTCACTTATCTACAGGGTGATCAACTGATCGTGAACCACTCAATATCTCACTGTGTTTAATTAGAAATTAAATTTTTTCTTTACATAGTGTTTTTATGTAATGTGATCTAAAGTTCTCACAATTTTTTTTTCTAATCCCCTTCCAACTTATTTTTTTGATAGCAACTTTTGAAACTTAAATAGTAACGCATACATTTCGTTGAATTTTTAAACTGATAATAATGTACTAAAAATGTTGACTAGTCGGTAACCAATTTTGGATAACTATTTTTAAAGTTATTGAAGTTTCAAGTTTAGAGCAGGAAGAAAGGTGGAGTGTAGTATTATTTTTATCTACGCGCATTTCCCAACCGCACTTTCCCTCTCATCCTAACTTTTAAACTCTTATAACTTCAAAAATAATCATCTAAAACTGTTTATCGGTCAACATGTTTAGTACATTATTTTCATTTTATAAAGATAATGAAATGTATGCGTTATTTTTTAAGTTTCAAAAGTTGCAATCAAAAAAACTAAGTAAAAAACTAGTAATCTACCTTAATTTGATACTTAATGCGAATTTTCTGATAGAAAATAGAACCTTAACTATAGATAGGTAACCGAGGAGTAGTGCAATAACTTTTAAAGAAACGAAAAACTTCATAACGATAGTTTTGTTTTTTTATTTTTTTTATTTGAAAATAAGGCTAGTGTTGTTTTTTATAGTATTATACAATTAATTAGTTGAGTAAAAGGTAAAAACTAATGAAAGTTTGGTGATATACCTATATTTAAATGTATTTATAAATCAAGATAAGTAAAACAATAGTTATAACAAGTTTTAAAAATTACATTAGCCGATTATAAATCATAAACAAAATAATTTTTCGAACCATTTAATAAAATACTAAAGTGCAAACGTATAACGAACAATTGTATACATATTATTAAACATACCAAAACACAACGGTCCATTTTTGTATGTTCTCTTGAATGGTAAATTCACAAAACAATGTATCAGACGATTCTTCAGTTTGTCTTTTGCCCTGTTCTGGCGAATACGCTCTCTTATATACTAAGTGGACGATAAGTTAATGAAGTTCGAGGCAAGCGAATTGAGAGATTAAAATTGTTCTGTTGTTTTTACTCTTTCAGGGCCACAAAAAATAAACCAAGTAAAAATATTGTAATTAAGATTTAAACTTCAAGCAGCCACGAGTATAAAACTATAATAATAACTAACGTGAACTGCTAATCAAAATCTTTACACCACAAGCGACAACACTTAATAATTATGAGTTGTGACATTGAGCCCAAAATAGTGTTGTTATTATTATTTTTTGTGTACAATTCAACACAAATTAAAAACAACGATATAATTTACTCTATTATTGTTTATTGTCATTTATTTAGCATATGTGTATCTAACATATTATATAAATATTATCATTGCGGACACCAAGAATCTTAGAGTCATAGTCTAAGATACAAGAAATGTAATCTCTTTGTCCAGGAACTCTTTTTTTAATTTGTATGATGTTGCTATGTGTAGCCTCTTCGTTATAAGAGATAGGCTGGAAATAATTGAGCTGAATTGACTTAAAAAAATTAATAATTAAGCCATGCCAACGGACTCGACTGGTCACATTTTCACAAATGAAATTAGTTAATGTTTTTTTTTTTGTAATATTACATACAACTTATAAGCTTATAAAAAAACTTATACACAAATCCTAACATTGTTTATATTATGATTTATGGTTATAAAAGACGTCATAGCTCATAATATTAAAATCGAGAACAATCGAAAACAAATTTGACCGGTTTTTTAACTGATTTGTTATATCTTTTCACCCGGGGTTAGGGGTGGGGGTTGAATGTTTTTTGTTCATTTTTTATGCGCACTTTTAGGATTTAAGAGATCAAAATTAGTCTGAAGATAGGTCTAACGTATACCCATAACATGCGTAAAAAATAATGAAGCAGACACGAAATGTTCACAGACCGAAAAAAACACAGGTACTTATAAAATAATTAAAGATAATTACAGATTGTTTAGACAGGCTATCAATTAAAACGTCTATAAAACAATGTCAAGTTCCTGAACCCAAAAATAGCTCTAAAAAGAATCGAGTTATAGACATATATATATATATATATATCATTGTAGAAACCTTCTCAGCTTCACATCGAAACTAACATATTATTAAATGTGGGATCGATAATATTGTATCAACCAGCTGACAAACCTAGTTATGACGAAGCAACAGAAAACCATATCGTATTATTCTAATCTGTTTATCGAATACCGATGACTGGATTATTGCATAACAAACATCGTTGGTCACATAATATTATTGATTTCAGTCTTGAACATATTTATATATTTACACCGTCTTGAGAAATTATCCTTTACGTGTTTCGATAATATTTTTTAATTTGTTATTCCTAATCATAAGCAAGTCCTTAACTGTTCTTACTCTACTACTCTTTACTCGGTGGTTACTTTTCGTTGATTGCAGTGCCAATTTGTAAATTAAATAGAAATACTTATTATTTTATTATTTTAACCATACTATTTTATCTTCATTCAACCCAACTTACTACAGATCATTTTTTTTTTTACACTCTTAAGACAGTAAATAACAGATAACTTGAAGAATAAGGTCAAAATAAAAATAAAAGTTTGTAGTAAATCTTGGTTAAACATTAACAAATCTAGAAAGAATATCTTGCTTCAAAAGAAAAACCTTGATTATAAGTATAAAATAAAAATAGTTTTGTATAAACGACTCAGTGTTACACGCGATTGCGTTAGTTCCTATACTTTCGTTTGGTGTTCTATTCATGGCTCATACAGAAGATAATTAAATGAAAACGTGTAGAGAATAACTGTCAATAACATCAACAATTTAATGTATGAGGTTAAAAATATAAAAAACATTCTTAGGAAAAAATCTATCGTGCAGTGCGTTGGCGGTCTGTTCCGTGATGTAAACGACATTGTACTTAAGTACCGACGGGTACAATAATCATTGATCGGGTTGAGTTCTTGATCACATGTTAACGTGCCTCGTGACGATCCTTAGGATGAGATGAACAGCTGCAATTATTTTCGTTGTCGGACCTTGTTCGTCTGTCAGTATATGCAAGCTTAATGCGTTATACGCATTGAAAAGTAACCATTCAGGTAAAATGGTAAATACTGTGGTGTTTCGTGTATGACAATAACAAATAATATGTAGAAAATAAAAACAATTTTTATTAGATAATAAAAAATGATTTACAGTAAAATATAATATATATATATTTATAGATACAAACTCAGTTAATATGAAAGTGGTTAATAATTTACATTATCAGGGAGATGGTCACCGGTGTACACAAGTATACGGGATAAGGATGTAGGTAGACGATTTTGTTTTAGGCAGTAATAAACCTGACCTAGGATTTTTGCTGCCAAACAATCCTAAGTCGGATCGATTTGGTCTTTAACAGCTATTGAGCTGCTTTGACAGCTCTTATGTTTTATTACGGTTATATGGCGAGTTAAATAGCGTTTGACAAACGGTAGACTATTAGTATCCTCCGTTGTTTCCTTGGGGAGCGGCGTACGATGCCTTTACCGGCGAAGGGTAGCCAGAGGGTGCGGAGTAACCTCCCTGAGCCGACGGGTAGCTGCTCGGAGACGGTGCGGGGTAGCTGCTCGGTGACGGCGCGGGGTAGCTGCTCTGAGACGGAATGGAACCCGAGTATCCTTTCACGCCGGAAGCGGCCTGGTAACTTCCTTGGGCGCTGTAACCTCCTTGTTGTGTCGCGGGTGAAGCGTAACCCGGCTGGGGTCCGGATGCCGCGGGATATGCTCCCTGGGATCCCGAAGCCGGAGCGGGATACCGTCCTTGTGCTCCCGGGGCGGGACCACTGGGCTGGGGCTTGGCTTCACCTTCGTAGTTGACTTGGGCGTTGTATCCGTTTTCGTCGGCCACGTAAGTCACTCGTTGGTTACGGCCGTCCGGTAGCAGAACGCTGTACTCGCCGGTTACCCTCTTGCCGTCGCTGTTGGCCTGGTGTTTGAAGTCGGTGTAGGTCGGGGCGTCCTTGACTTCATAAGCAAAGTTGAACGGCTCCGGCTGTAAAATAGAAAACAGATACAGATGGTTTGGCCTTGATGAAAGAAGGGAGCAAAGAAAATAGTAAAACAAGGATTTAGAGACGGATAGAAGAAAAAAGTGGATGTTATATAAATAAAGACACGGACATGTGGGCACTGTCTGTGCACATAAGGGTTGTATTTCAGAGAGATTTCAATGAGATTAATTTAAACAGTTAAAACAAATTCATAATAATATAAGTTTATTATGATATTTGAGAGCAAAGAGCAAAGGTTTTTCAAACCACGATTATCAGTAAACTGTCATAAAAGAACATGTACCTCGGAGTTTCCATCAGCTCCAGCTCCACCAGCTGGACCGGGGGCCTTTTGTCCGTAGTCGTTAGAAGGGCTAGCTCCAACACCTCCGTATCCTGGATTGCCAGACGGAGCACCATATTGGGCGCAGGCAAAGGCGGCCAATACCAACACAGCCAATGATTCCTGTAAAGATTAATAACACACAGACAAGTATTAGACACTTACTCGGTATCTGGGGCGGGGCAAATTACAATAAAATATACATTTCACAACCAATAATTTACATTGAAATTTGTACAGGACATCAAACGAAAGCGCGCCTAATGATCACTTAGAAGTTAGAGGTGTTCATTATGTGTTAGCTATTAATTTAATTTCAGTAGGTGTAATATATTATTATTATTATGTGATGCGCTATTAAATAATAGTTAATAGTTTATTATTAATTATTATTATGTTGAAGATTGACACGATGTTAGATAGTATTATAACGATATTAAACGTCTACTCATCCATCCAGATTTTGTTCGAAGTGGGACAAATAAAAAAGAAATTATTCGTCGTGGGTACATTGCGCATGTATATTGCATATATATGTGTGTGAATATATTATCCAATTACCGTGTCCGATATAATATTACATTATATCGGCGATTGATTATTTTTAGTATGTAATTTACATAATTTATATAATATCTTTAGCAGATGTATTCAATTGAAGGTGACCGTTTTTGTATATATTAACAAGAAAAAAAATCTTCTGAATTCTGTGATCTGTTGTAATTGAATTATTTTATACCGTTAAATATATTGAATAAGTATCTGGAATTGTTGTAAGTGTAGTGATATTTTTAAATTTTCTTTTTTTACTTTAAATGTTTTAAATTACAAAATGAAAATATACAACCAAAATGCTCGAGGTCCAAATTTTTTGGCGACAAGCATAAATTTGATAGAGCTTTTGTAAAAATTACAAGTGTGGCAAATTTCTAAAAAATAAGCTTTTAATATTAACCTGGTGGGCGCCTAATTGTTATTGGGTTTGATTTTGACTTGGAGTTTGGTTTGTTATTGACTTTATGGTTTATTATTTGTTTTTGGTTTTGAAGGAGGAGAAAAGCTGATGATTTCACGCATTCTATTATACTAAAATTATCATAATAATATGGTAGCACAATAGTCAATGGAAGGAAAAACGTTTGGAAATTAAACACATTCCAAGTGAAAAAAAAAGGCGTAAGGAAAGAAATAATTATGTGGTAGGATCCTATTGTTCGAGTGTAACCTACGTGAAACAAAGTTAAGGACGTCGAAAATGCGAGGTCATCATTTATATGTCTTATATATTTAGACCAGAGCGCACAGTCAAGCCTAAGAAGTTGACTTTAAGGTCAGACCGATCTATATATGTATTGAAGCACATCGTTCACACGTTCAATGTTCATCACAATATACTTATACTTATACTGCTTGTGTAAAATATATAATATACGCATAATTTATTCATATTTAGGTATAGGTCGATCAAGTGGTTTAAAAGTCGGAACTGTTACAATAGTTGTATTCGTTTCAGAATAATATTAAAAACGAATAACGACAGCCGTTTTTTAAATTATCTCTCTTGTCTTCGTTGAACAAGTTACAGCTACTCGGGAATATTTTTATTCCTATCTATTTTAGCAGTGAATGTTAACCAAGTTTCCAACAATATACAGTACATTACTTTAGTTAAAATTTAGTAAAAATTGCGATAAAATCATGTTATTGACTTCGGTATACTTCCAAGTCACTCGTGTCGGTTATCAATGGAATGTACACACATGTATACTTGTTAACAAGGCGATAACATTTTTTATTAACCTGAAAAATCCATCCAGTGACAAGCATACATTAAAACTTACTATTTTGGGCGAACTTTATTATTATCTTTCATATTTCAATGTTGTTTAACAACTTTATTGCTACGGAAACTAGTGTAAAAGCACCTCATAAACTTGCTCAAACCGACAAGAAAAGTGTAGTCAATTTAAAAAAAAATATAATTTTACTTATTTTTTAATCAATTCTTGAAACGAAAATTAACTTGCGAAATGTGGACTCCAAAATTGTAACAGTTACAGGTTATACATTTTGTACTGAAAATACAATAACAAGTAAGAGGTTTATTTAAATTTAAACTTGTCTATTTTATGTTTTCGCCTATTACAAAATATATTAAAAGTAAAAGCGTAGTTGGATTAATTGGGAAAAGTAAACTTACCATATTTAAAGTGCGGGCGGATGATGTTTTTAATTTTATTCCATACATCGCCTACCTACTATATTTATTAATATAATACCAGTAGTAGCTACAATAAACGATTAGTCAAATTTACATTTCCAACCAGATATTTTCAATTAATTCGGTTGTATGACAATAAAATATATTTTATGTTTAATCATTGTCTCAAAATATTGAATAATTCAATAGAAAAAAAACATGACATTTTAATAGCTGAAAATATAATAAACATTACGTAAAAACATAGACTAAGAGTAATAAAAATTGGTAATTACTAGTTTTGGTGTTTCAACCTGGTCGGGTTACATAAAAATTGACATTGACAAAACTATTAGAATTAACATAATATCACACACACACAAAATATATACATAGGTATATAATATATATTATATATAATAATAAAAAATAATTGTATACATGTAAATAAATATATTGACTGTTGTTTTTAATTAATTGCTTTTTTTTTACATGTAATGTGTGGGAATATGTTAATTTTAATGATTTTGTCAATGCAAATTTGTATGCAACCTGATGGTAGTAAAACACCTAAATAAGTAGTTAGTTTTACCAATATAAGCATTTGTAACATTGATGTCTCTATATTTACATGATGTGTATTATCTCAAACAAATAGCTGAAATTAGATCAAATCGCCATTTTGTCTTTTGCCCATCTATGAATTTTCGTAAATGTCATATAATAATTAATCATTAATTATTGGATAATATTTCATATTTTATCGATGATACAGTATTATAGCAAAACAATTTAGTATGGGGTAGTAAAAACATCAAATGTAAAAATAGTCATTACAGAATATTAATATAATTTTTAAAAAAACAGGTAAAAAAAATCATTTAGTTATGCTGGTTGATATTTCAAGTTTAAAGAACAAACTTATGAAAGAATACTGGAACATTTAAAATACATTATTGTATTAAAATAATTTCTCACACATCATATTTTCACTCGAGTGTATTGTTACAAAACTTGGAGTGTTCGAGTTGTTTTCTTTAGTAGGCGTTAACTTAGTTTCATAATTTATAGAAAGAAAGAAACATTCTAGTCATAAAATGGTTAGTTTTTATTGAGTTTGTTTTGTTTAAGAAATATATGAACATATTATAAATAAATACTAATATATGTTATTTTGACGATTGATTTTTTATCCAAACCAGCGCAATAACAACAGGGTTGTTTAATTGCACTTGTATTATGCTTTAAAAACAAAGTTATTCTATAAAAGTTGTCACGATAGTTTAAAAATTGACAGAATATTATTACGTCGTATTTTGACAAGAAATTGAATATTACTTAATTTGAATATTATTAAATGTTTCAATATGTTTGAAGAATTGTTTATGAATTTAAAAAAAAAATGTTTAAATTTAAAAAAATTGCTGTGTGGGTATTTATTTTATTACATATAGGATCAAAAAAACAAAATATATTTAAAAAAAAAGTATGTTGTAAAAATGTTCAAATGTTTTAAAAATATTACTAACATTTTAATGCGATCAAATGTTAGTGCCGAAACATTTCTACATATTATGGGGATTCTAGTGGAAAGTGTTTTCAGAAAGTTTTAACTTATTTTAAAAGTTTAATAAGTTCCTAGTTGTTTTTCAAACGAAACGTCCAAATTGAGTACAAAAAAAGACTTTAACGCCTTTTTCTCAGTATTTGTCGTCAAGTTATTATTTAACAGTTGTTTAATCGAGCCATCATAATAAAAGAGTATCCTAGAAGCCAAGGGGTATGGATTCAATTTTGAGAAACCGAGTTGGGTGTCCTATATAGAAAACTTTAGTATGAAATATTTCATATTCAATATTTACTTTGAAATAGGCATTTCAATGACTTTTTGAAACTTATTTAGTTTATTTGATAATGTATAATCGACAGCTTATCTAAACCACATGTTACCAATTGTGACTTATAGATTAGTAAATAAACAATTAAATAAAATATTCTTATAAATTAGAGTATTAAATATGTATCGAATTGAATTAATTTAGTCATCTATCAAATAGATATACAAACGAGTTTAAAAAAAACATGAGTTTTTAATGATATTATTTTTTTAAAAATAATATATTCATATTATTTATTTATTTACATATATATATATATTATTTCTAATACAGGTATTATAATAAGTAAGTAGTATAAAACCTCGTTTTAATTAAATTGTTCGTCGTTTTGTAATTTTTAACACAAATAAATTTGATAACATATTTAAACCCTAGTTTTACAATATAACAATAATCTTCGTACGGACATTAGAAAACAAATAACTTAATTATTTAGTTTTTCCTAAAAATAACACTTGTACCTACCCCATGGCTTATTGGGGGCCAAGTACACAATACAAGCATGCTAGTGGAATAATGGTTAAATCGGTACCGTGCGGTGACTTACCTTTTGCATGTACATGACTATTGAGCAGCGGGTCGTCGGACGTCGTACAAAACAGCGATAACGCAAAGGTTATTACGATATTCGAAAAGGGCGGTTGAAATAAATAAAAAAAAACAGAGGTTGCACTTGACCGCCGAAATGGATGTGCGGCCGTCTGCGTTGATATTATATGCGTTATTTAAATTACAATAACGACAATAAAGCTCAGGTTTATGTTATGTTTATTCGCGGTCGACGTCACTGGCGCAAATGATTTGGTCCGATTGCGAACGTCCGTCTTTATATACACCCGTTGGGTCTCGGCAGCAACCGCGGTGCATTGGGAATTATTAGCATACATGCGCCGCCCGCGATGACGAGATCTAGGTTGTTGTATACAACCAAAACGATCGAGATGCCACCATAACAACACACAGCGCGTTGGTTCATCTATATAATCAGCCCCATTCATCGTCTCCGATTCCACGCGATGATGCAACCGCCGCGGTCTGATGTGCGTATGTCTATATGTATACTAAACTGAGGTCAAGTGTCATTGCCGCAGGCGAGCGTCGTGATCTTCCTAGTAACGATTGGTTATTTATCGCGACGGAAACACATGCAACGTTACGTTATGTAGCGTAGGGTAGGCGAGCGAAATTACACGAGTCCATATTGTAAGGTGTACGCGGGTACATCGTGAAGCATGACTTATATATACATAGGTACCAGGCGCGTATTATACCTACGTACGCGGGTAAGTAAATACCCCGGGAGAAGGAAAAAAATCACACTCGCTTAAACGGGCCAACGTCGATATATATATATAGGTGGTACACCTAGGTTAGGTTGCCGCACATTTTCCACAGTACCACACGATTCGACGGCCAGGCGTCTACACCGTGCTTGTGTTAACGTTTGGACAATGTGTTTGAAGAGGGAAATCGGGAAATACGGCAAATAATACATCAAACACGTGTACAGGGTGATTGGTTAATCATGTTAATGTCTTAAAAGTTGATAGACTTTAAAAATTTGTTTTTTCAGTCAATGGTTAGCCCAAATTTTATAAATTGCACGATCCCAGGGGCCCCGGCTTGATGGGAGCCTCAAATTATACATTTTACATCTTTGTGGTTTTTATTTGGTTTTCTTAAAGGGCCCCCCAACTCTGTGTGCCCAAGGTCCCGACATAGCCTAAGACGGCCATGAATATAATAATATATATTATATTATATAATATATAATATAATTAATTATTAAAGTTTCAAATTTAGCACGGAAGGTGTAGTGCCGTTGAGTAACGCGCGCAGGTAAACTAATACTGTACTTCACCCTTCCTGCCGTTCTAAATTTGAAACTTTAATCTGTTACTTTTTAAACTTCAGCAAATTATTAAAAACTGGTTATAGACCAGTCGAAAATTTCAATTAATTATCCTTAATTAAAAATTTGTAAAAATAAATACTTTCCATTTAAAAAATTAAGTTTATAATGTTTTTATACATAAGTAATGGGGTTATGTTTTTGAAATTATTTCTAAGTTTGGTAAAATATAAGTGCATAAAATAGAACTGGGTCATAGTTAACCAATCACCCGATATTCAAGAAGTGGGCTGCGTTATGGTGTTGTGTCTGAGCTAAACATAAACATCTTTAAATCGCAGTGTATGAAATCAAATAAAAATGGCTATATAAGAAATATTTAATAAATGTTCCTGATAATAAGTAAAATACAAATAGTGTAATTAAGAAGTAATAATTATTGTTGTGTTGTAGTCTCCTTATTTCTATATTCGTATTTAAAACGAGGTATATTGTTATGCCGGTGGCAAAGAGACATGAGTAAAGAGAAACCCTTGGAATCATGTTTCAAAAAATTCTGGAGTATGTTTCAGACCAACCCCTAAATTTTTAGGACTAGTTGCGCCATGGCAGAACTAACATAAGAGAGTGTGGCCAAGTGTTTATAGCCTTCCTCGTGGCTTGAATTTGGATCTTAATGTTTTTTTATGGATTTCATTAATAACACACTATGTTTACTGGGCAAAACTCAATTAGGGTATGGTGTTTATGCCTTCGAGTACAAACGTGGTCGACGTATTTAAAACCAATATAATAGTGGATTACTCAACGCCATGAACTTGAGTAGAAAATGTAATATTTATGTAATTACTATCAATTATTGATAATCGCTTAAAATCAAATGGGTTTTTATGTAATAATCTGACCTTTGAATGTCCTATAATATTATTATTTTTAATTTAATAACATTATAATTATAAAAAATTGCAATATAGTTTCAAATTTTTGATATGGCGATAAGCATTAAAAAATGTTTTTAAAAATTCAAAACTGTTAAAAATGAATTTACCATTTTTTAAAAAATGTTTTTGTATTGTTCACATAATATACATATTATATTTATTGGTTTTAATGTTTGATTTGTATTCATCTTCCATATCCATTTGCAGCAATGCACTTCATAGTTCATACAGCTTTTAAATATACATTTTGGGTTTACTCAAGCAGCTTTTGCATTTCTTTTGAACATATTATATATAGTTATTATCAATTTTTAATTTTTTAATTGCAATTTTGGCAAAATATTGTTTTTGGCGAAATTGAATCAGGATTAATTTTTAAACTAAAACTCAAAATATTCCATTTTTTTTTTTAATTTTAGACCAGAAGACCAATTTGACTTTTAACTTTGACTTATTCAATTATTATTCAAATAAACCATACTTGTTATCAGTAATAAATTCCGTTGAAGCTACACATGATTTTATTTAGAAAAGTTCAGCTAAAACAATATTATAGCTACATGCCTTAGACCTAATTTCCTAATATATGATACTTGACTAAGTGAGATTTCTCGGTTATCTGGATACCCCCGACGAGCTATCAGCTATTTTGTTTTTTTTTTTAAATCGTTACACTTGATATATTATTTTGGAATAGGCTGATCAGTATAATTATTTTAACGTTCAATTAAGTGTGGATCTAAGATTCGTTTTTTGGCAGCCCATCGGTTATCATGGTGGATTGGATTTTTCTAATAATTTAGTTTTATTACAAAACTAAAAGCAATTAGAAGAATCGTAAGTTAAAGCATAGGTGAGTTATTTTATGAAATTAACAACAGCTTTTAGTAAGTTAAATGTCTTTTCGATATCTTTGATATGCGAGTTTCAAAGAAGACTTGAAATGTATTTAATGTATTACCTAAGCCATTACATCTATATGTGTATTTATATAATATATTAATAAACACACTCGTGACAGCAAGTAACTACTTGATGTTTTCGTTTTTCTTTCCTGTTAGGTATTCGATATTTATATCCTCTTCGGTATATTGTGTGCAGAGGGAAAGTGTTAAGAAGAACCAGGGGGTCCGTGTATATAGGTTTTTGGGAGGATGCCTAATCTTTTGATAACATGCAACATAACAGTGCGATGCGTTTGGCATCTTGATTATGATTTATAGTATCGCATACTGTTATGGAAATCAATGAAAGCGCACTTGCACAAGAAGAAGCACACGGGCAAAAAAAAAAACTTTGGGAAGGCGCGGCGGGCAATCTTGTCGATCGATTGTTCTCCATCCTACCGTTTTGCCTTTCGGCTCTACATTTTGTATGTAAATCTGAACGATAATAATAATTACTATTTCAATATCGGCGAATACATAATATTATTATGTTTGCGCCGGTGTGATGCAATGTGCCGGCCCTCGGATGTGGGAATTGTAAATTAGACACAGCCTCGATATAGATGGATGCGCGAAGCACGACTGGTCCTCTGCCGGTCTAATTTGAAATCCACGTGAATTAAAATGAATCGTTTATTTATGATAAGTTATAATTTTGTTGAGAATGACTATTTTTAAACAAATATGTTCTGTGGCTATAGACGGATCGTTTACTTTTGCAAGTGGTCAAATTCGCATGGTAGTTAATTTTATCATTCAGATATTTAGTTTAATTATTAGGAAAAAAGTTCCTATTAACGATTTATATATTTTAAAAGTCATAATAAAATATATTGGTAAAGAAGTTTTGGTTTACATCGCACTCTATTGCACATGTTGAGTGACTTCAATTGTTTATGGAAAGGGTAAAATTCGTTAAAAAATAAATTTGAAAGATTGGTATTCATAAATTTAAATAAGTATAGTGCATAAGTATTAAAAATATTTTTTGTAATTTTTTTCCAGTAAAATGGTATGTGGAAAACTGTAATTTTTATTTTTCTCAAAGTTTAACAATTGATTATAAATATAAACACTAATATTTATAACCAACGGTTTAACTTTTTTGACTAAACCCCTTTCATAAATAAATAATTTCGTTGAAAATTAACAACAACAAAATGCAAACACTCGTGTTTATTTTTTAGTGAATCGACGAAAATGAACAGGATATAGATGATAGGCCGCGTGTTTATCCATTTAGGACTGAAGGTTAGGTTTCGAAGATTCGTGCAAAAAAATCAAATAATAAAACCATTAAGTACGACGGCTATAGCTGTTTATCTCGCCGTTGGCGTCAACATAGTTACCCTGTGACTACATAATTTATAGTTATAATTCAAGGGCGACTTTGGGGGCGTTTTAAACGTTTTATTAATCAAAGTTGAAGTTGTCCGAGTAGCCCTTAGGCGTGTGATGTATATTACGTGTTGAGACGAACAACAATAAAAGCCATCGAACCTGGTTTTGATTAATAAATTTTACAAGTAAGCGTTATCTAATTGTACGACAATACAGGGTGATCATTTTGTTGTGAACCACTCAATATCTCATTGGGATTAATAAGAAATTGGATTTTTATACAATGTGATATCAATTTTCACAATTTGTTGTCTTTATCCCCTCCCAGAACTTTAAAACTTAAACGGTAACGCATTTAAATAAATTAATATTTTTTTAATTGAGAATAATGTACAAAAAATGTTGACTGGTCGAAAACCAGTTTTTTATAACTATAATGGAAGTTATAGAAGTTTCAAGTTTAAGGCAGAAGGAACGGTGGAGTGTAGTATTATTTCTATCTGTGCGCATTCTCCAACCGCACTTCCCCTCCCATCCTAACTATTAAACTCTAATAACTTAAACAAATAGTTTTTCAAAACCAGTCAACATTTTCAGTAGGTACATTATTCTCAATTTTAACGGTTAATGAAATGTTTATGCGTAATCAATTAAATTTCAAGAGTCGCTATCAAAAAAACTAAGTTAAATGGGTCTAAAAAATACCAAATTGTGAAAAGTTAATATCACATTGTATAAA